GGATCAGTGGTGGGTTCCTCCCGGTTTGGTCCGGTTCGGCCGAGCCGGTAGTGGTGACAATATGATGTCACCGAACTGGTTCTCCCCCCGCCCCCCCACCCCCACCCCCCATTATTCTTACCTTTTATTGGTCACACCCCCAATCTATTGCTGCCTCCTGAGTCCCAGCTGATGGCTAGAGGAAAAAAAACTGTTTAAATTCTTGCCGCGGGGCTTCAAAGGGCCGCCCTATAGCCAGTGGTGGGATTCTGCCGGTTCTAGGGGGTTCAGCCAAACCGTTTGTTAAATTGCTGGCTTGCCCCACCCCTCCGCACCACTATTTATTGCCAATAAATAGTGGTGGGCAAGGGACGGGCGAGCCAGCAATTTAACAAATGGTTCGGTGTTTTTTTTGTAATTTTATTGGCCCGCGGAGCTTCAGCATAGGCTAATTAGCCCTTGATTAGACCAGCTCCCGACTCTCAGCTGATTTGCTCTCAGCTGTTTTGCGGAGGGCTCTGCTGCTTGCTTGCAAAGAGTGCTGGAGCAATTTTTCCCCCCTAGCTATGCTGAAAAACGAAACTGAAAGTAAAGCAGGCTGTTGGCTTTGCTGTTGCTGCAACGTTGGAAAATTAGGCAGGCAGATTTCTTTTCTTTTTCCTCACCAAAAAAGGTAGGTGCAAACAATGGGAAATTTAGGGAAAAAGAGGAGAGTTCAAGATTTTAAAACACAAAAGAAAAAAAGCTCTATTTAACTAGGGAATTGTAATAATTGAGATACTATTAATTGTATATTGTGTTGAAAGCAGAAATGGTTAAATTGTGGTTTGGAGGAATATATGGGGGAAATTATTTAGTTTATTATTATTGGTAAATATAATTAATTGATTTGTAAGAAATTGGATTGCATGGAAATAATTGGAATATTCATGTTCATATTAATATACAAAAAAGGTAGTTATATAATTGATTTATATTAAAATGTTGAATTTATATTAAACAACTGTAATATTACATAATTAACCAATGTGAGGATGGATATAAAAATAGATGACAATGGGAAGGGGTATAATATAGAATAGAAGGAAAAAATTGAATTTGATTAAGATTAGAGATGAGGATGAAGGGTAATATTGGTTTTTTACAAAAATAGATGAGGAATAAATATGGCAAAAAGGAAATATAGAAATTTAATTGAAATGACTAAACACTGTTTAAATTTGTGAACCGGCCAAATACTCTGTTCAAAGAAAATACATTGTATGTTTGTATGTGTGTTTCTAATTATTGCTATTTATTCATATTTGTTCTCTTTTATTCTTTAAAGTTTAACAATTCATTCTTTATCTTAATATCTTTATATTTGTTTGGGGTTGGCTTTCTTCCCTTTCATCTTTTTTATTGTACAGAAATCTTTCTCTTCAAACCTACCACCTCTCTCTTTTCTTTCCTTCTTACTTTCTCTTCTCCCCCCTCTTCTTCTTCTCCCTACTTCCTCTTCCTTTCTCCTTCTCCTCCTCTCTTCCTCCCTCTCTTACCCTCACTCCTACTCTAATTTCCCTTCCCTTCCTTCATCCCTCTCTATTGCTGTATCCTTTTATGCATATGGACTACTCAGAGGGCTGAAAAAGTTATTTCTGACTGGTCCTCGCACTTTTGACCAGTCCTCAAACTTACGACTGTCCTCACATTTTACGTTTTTGCCCTATCTTGTCACCATGGTGAAGAGAAGCAGTTGTGAAATGAGTGACATGGTTGTTAAGAATGCTACATTGGGCATAAATGATGACCAGTCATAAGTGCGAAGACCAGCCAAAAGTGCGAGGACCTGTCAGAAATCACTTTTTTCAGCCTTCTGGGTAGTCCTTTTGTGCACATGGACTACTCAGAGGGCTGAAAAAGTTATTTTTGACTGGTCCTTGCACTTTTGACCAGATCTCAAATTTACGACTGTCCTCACATTTTACGTTTTTTGCCCTATCTTATCACCATGGTGAAGAGAAGCAGTTGTGAAATGAGTGACATGGTTGTTAAGAATGCTGCACCTGCATAAATGTGAGGATGGTCATAAGTGAAGACCAGTCAAAAGTGCGAGGACCTGTCAGAAATCACTTTTTTCAGCCCTCTGGGTAGTCCTTTTGTGCACATGGACTACTCAGAGGACTGAAAAAGTTATTTTTGACTGGTCCTCGCACTTTTGACCAGATCTCAAATTTACGACTATCCTCACATTTACGTTTTTTGCCCTATCTTGTCACCATGGTGAAGAGAAGCAGTTGTGAAATGAGTGACATGGTTGTTAAGAATGCTGCACCTGCATAAATGTGAGGATGGTCATAAGTGTGAAGACCAGTCAAAAGTGCGAGGACCTGTCAGAAATCACTTTTTTCAGCCTTCTGGGTAGTCCTTTTGTGCACATGGACTACTCAGAGGGCTGAAAAAGTTATTTTTGACTGGTCCTCGCACTTTTGACCAGATCTCAAATTTACGACTATCCTCACATTTTACGTTTTTTGCCCTATCTTATCACCATGGTGAAGAGAAGCAGTTGTGAAATGAGTGACATGGTTGTTAAGAATGCTGCACGGGCATAAATGTGAGGATGGTCATAAGTGTGAGGACCAGTCAAAAGTGCGAGGACCTGTCAGAAATGACTTTTTTCAGCCCTCTGAGTAGTCCCTATACACATAGCCATGGCCACCCGGTCACATGACCAGCTAGCCACGTCCACCCAGTCATATGACCTCCAAGCCATGCCCACAAAATAAGCCACGCCCACAGAACCGGTAGTAAAAAAATTTAGAACCCACCCCTGGTTCGGACTGGATAATTTATTCACCCCTGTCTCAAGATGCCATCCTCTGAAGGTACAATGAGATAATCCAGATCCGAGCCAACAATGAGGCAGCAGTCAAGATTCACAGAGTATGAGCTAAGGCAATATGCTCCTCTCAGCAGCCACCACGAACCTTGACCTATTTACCTACACTTATAGTGGACTATAGAAGGAATAGATCAGACATCCAGCCCTTGCTTATAAATGGAGGCCGAGTGGAGCAAGTGGCCAGTTTTAGGTTTCTGGGTGTTATCTTAAAAGAGGGCCTGACTTGGGGCACTCACATTGCAGCATTGGTCAAAAGGGCCCAGCAGAGATTATACTACCCGAGACTTCTCAGGAAACAACAACTGAATGAAAAACTGCTGGTGACCTCCTACCGCTGCACCATAGAGAGTATTTTAACTTACTGCACCTGTGTATGGTTTGCCAATTGCACAGTGGCAGATAGGACAGAGCTCCAGAGGGTCAACGTCGTTGCCCAGAGGATCATTGGTTGCCCCCTACCCTCTTTGGAAGAGCTTTATAGCTCCCGTTGCCTTAAGAAAGGTCAAAACATTCTTAGAGATCCACCTCATTCTGGGCACCCTTTTTTTTGAACTATTACCATCTGGCAGACGGTACAGGATAATAAAAACAAGGACAAATAGGCTGAAAAACAGTTTCTATCCCAGAGCAATAACTAGATTGAATTCTACTGTATAGTGCAATATTAATGCACTATACACTATGCAATATTAATACACTATAACCACCCGCGGCCTCGCGGGTGGTTATGGGCGCAACCCGTTATGCCCACGTGACACCCCTCCTGCGCGAGCTGCACTGGCTCCCAGTGGTCTTCTGGGTGCGATTCAAGGTGTTGGTTACCACCTTTAAAGTGCTCCATGGCATAGGACCCGGGTACCTTCGAGACCGGGGCCTGGCTTAGGGCCTGGTTATTTACGGGACCACCTACTACCACCAATAGCCTCCCACCGGCCAGTACGCTCTCATAGAGAGGGAACTCCTCCGGGTGCCGTCAGCCAAACAGTGTCGACTGGCGGCCCCTAGGGGGAGAGCCTTCTCTGTGGGGGCACCTACCATCTGGAATGAGCTCCCCCCGGAGATACGGAGGATCCCGGATCTGCGCTCCTTCCGCCGTGCTGTGAAGACCTTTTTATTCCATCAAGCGGGCTTGGCCTGATCTCTTCCCTTTTTAAATACGTAAATTTTAATCTGTTTTTAAATTATTGGGGTATTTTAATTTGTCTGGGCCAAATAATTTAATTTGATTTTATCGGGTTTTTAAATTTTGTGTATTTATGTATTTTATTGTTGGCTGTTCACCGCCCTGAGTCCTTCGGGAGTAGGGCGGTATACAAATCAAATAAACTAAACTAAACTAAACTAACCGACTTCTGCCACCAACAGCCTCCCACCGGCCAGTTCGCTCCCACAGAGAGGGTCTCCTCAGGTTGCCGTCAGCCAAGTTATGTCGGCTGGCGACACCCAGGGGGAGGGCCTTCTCTGTGGGAGCCCCAGCTCTGTGGAATGAACTGCCCCCGGAAATGCGCAAGATCTCCGACCTCCGTGTATTTCGCTGTGCCCTCAAGACCCTGCTATTCCGCCAAGCCGGGCTATTAATGTAATGATTTTTAAATTGGGTGTTTTAAATTTTGGGGGTTTTAAATCTGAGCCGAAATTATGTAATAATTTTAATTATTTTTAACTGATGTTTGTCTTTGTGTTTTTAATAGGCTGTACACCGCCCTGAGTCCTTCAGGAGAAGGGTGGTATAGAAATAAATTTATTTATTTATTTATTTATTTATTTATTTAATGCAATATCAGGGGTTTTCAATTCAATTGTATAGAATGTGAAGGATGTGTGTTTGTGTTTTATTTTTATAATTATAATGTACACCAAACATGGCATCTAATTTTGTTGTACGAGGTGCAATGACAATAAACTAACCTAAACTCTGCACACTTGTAAGGCTACTCTCCTGTGTGACGTCTGGTGTGCTTGTGAAGTGATGAAGATTTGGCAAAACATTTCCCACATTCCAGACATTTATATGGTTTCTCTCCAGTGTGGATTTGTTGATGAATCAAAAGACAATCTTTCCGTGAAAAACATTTCTCACACTGAGCATTTGTGAGGTTTCTCTCCTGTGTGGATTCGCTGATGTATCACAAGAGTATCCTTTCGTGAAAAACATTTATTACACACTAACATTTATGGCCCTTCTCTCCTGTATGGATTCGGCTGTGACTTCTAAGGGAACCTGAATGGGAAAATGCTCTCCCACAGTCTAAACATTTGTAGTTTTTTTCCCCCGTGTGAATTTTCACATGACTTCTAAGGGCTGATGAGGTACGATAAAATTTTCCACAGTCGTTGCATTGATGTGGCTTCTCCCCTGTGTGGATTCTATGATGTCTCCAAAGGTCTCCCCTTTGTCTAAAATATTTTCCACATTCTATGCATCTATAGGGCTTCTCTCCTGTGTGGAGCTTCTGATGGCGTCCAAGGTTTTGTTTTTGGGCAAAGCACTTCCCACACTCCCCACATTTGAATGGCTTCTCCCCTGTGTGGATTCTCTCGTGACTCTGAAACTCTCTTGATGAAATAAAGCTTTTCCCACACTCCCTACATTGATAGGGTTTCTCCTCTTTATGCCTCTTCTGGTGACTCCGAAGTTCAAAAGAATACACAAATCGTTTCTCACATTCTGGGCATTCATAGGGTCTCTCTCCAGTGTGACGTCTCTGATGTTGCACCAGGGTTGATTTTGAGGTAAAACATTTCCCACATTCGAGGCACTTTTCGTTTTTCTCCCCTGTGTGTGTTTTCCAATGATTCCGAAGGTCTGAACCCTTGGAGAAACATTTTCCACACTCAAAGCATTTGTGAGGTTTTATTCCTAAGTGAATCTTCTTATGGGACTGAAGATCTGACTTCTGAGAAAAGCTCTTCCCACATTCCCAACACTTGTAAGGTTTCTCCCCTGTGTGGATTCTCTCATGAATTCTGAGATAGAATTTTCTACAGAAAAAATTCCCGCATTCCAGACATTGATAAGGTTTCTCTCCAGTGTGGATTTTCTGATGTCTCAGAAGCCAAGACTTTTGACCAAAGCATAAGCCACATTCCTCACATTTATAGGGTTTTAGTCTGGAGGAGCTTCTGAGACCTTTGGAGTCTTTTCCAGAGGATTTCTCACCCTCTGAACCTTCACTGGATCCACTTCCCACATGGACCTTCCTGTGGGTCAAAAGGACGGACCTGCGAGTAAAAGATTTCCCACACTTGGAGCATTCATGGGGTCTTCCATACTTTTTTGGAGTGCTGCTTGTTTCTGATGAGGGATCCAAGAGTTTCCCACCCTCCATGCTTTCTGCTGGCTGCTGAGTATGCCGAATTTTCACTATCTACTGACATTTGTCTTGCGGGTAAATCTTTGGTCACAGTTGTTTTCCTGCTGGAAAAAAGAATACAAGAATTATATTTTCTTTTGAGAAACATACAGAATCACAAAATCCTTGATTTGGAAGGGACCTGGGAGGTCTTCCAGACTCACCTCCTCCTCCAAAATGGGACATGGGTCCCCAGTACACCCGAGACAAAATCTCCAGTTATTTTTGTAACCCCACATCTCTAGGAGGCAAACTCTTCTGCTGTTCATTAACACTTATCTTTTCCTCCTTGGTTCTTGTCTTATTACAAGGTGAAAAAGAAACTCTGAATGTAGAGGTAGTCCCCCACTTATGACTACAATTGGGACTGGAATCTCGGTCATTCAGTGAAGCAGTGGGTAGATGAGGGATCAGGTCTCGACAAGCATCATCCCAAACTCCTCTTTGCGGATATTAAGTGATCTGATGGGTTCTTAAGTGGAGGAAAGCCAAGCCAAGGGATGTAGGGGTGTCTCTGGGGTGGGGATGGTCCTGGAGACATGGAACAGTCCCCCCATGTTTTGAGGGTGCTGAAATAGGATGCAAAACTGCAGCCACTCCTGGAAGCCTGAGTCGCCCCAGTCCAGCCATGCAAAGAGCCCTGACTGACAGCAATGCTGGGGCTAGGCCTAAAGTGGAGGCCCTCACCACTTTCAACCAGCTGCCACCGACCCCAGGACTGGACTTCAGCCCAGTGTCCCTACTGACAGTGTGAAATGCGGCCTTACTGCCGAGACCTCGGAGAATGGCAGTCTTGTTCAAAAAACATCTCAAAAGGCTTCAGGACCTCTTTTTATTCCAGAGATGGTAGGGGAGGGGCTTCCCATGCAAGGCCAACTCCTTTGTTGGTGAGATTTGGGGAGGGGCTTGCCAGGGGTTCAGCTCCAGCTTTTGTCCTTTTGTTCCCTTAAGGCGGGGGTCTGCAACCTTAAATACCCAAAGAGTCATTTGGACCCGTTTTCCACAGAAAAGAAAACACCGGGAGCCACAAAACCTGGGTGGGCGTGGCCAACTCGGCATCACTCACTTCCACCAGTCACATGACTCCTCCTAGCCACGCCTATCCAGCCGGTCATTAGGGCAGAGAACCAGTTGTTAAAAAACACTGGGAACTACAAAATCCTTTTGACATCTCTCTCTCCCCCTCCCTCTCTCTCTGTATCTCTCTATGTCTCTCTCTCCCCCACTCTCTCTATATCTCCCTGTCTCTGCCCTGGGCCGCTTCTCCATCCCCCACCGTTGCCCTTAACTTTTCAGGCCAGGCGAGGAGTGACTGGGAGGGGAGGGCGAGGAGTGGGGCCAGCCAGTGGTGGGATCACCTGACAGGGAGCCACAGCAGTGGGCCCAAAGAGCGGAATGTGGCTCCGGAGCTGCAGGTTGCTGACCCCTGCCTTAAGGACTTGGATCCTTTCCCTGAGGGAGATTTTCCTGGCTTTGTCCACCCTGTTTACATGCCTTGACCACTTTTAAGGATGGTGGCTTTGGCCTAATCTCACACATTCCTCCCCTTGACATTGGTTTATTTAGAATACCTTCCGTGGGAAGCCCCCTGTTCTAGAGAATGAAATATTTAGGGGAATGTTAAAAGAGATAGAACATTATATTTCCCCAAAGGAGAAATGGAGAAAGCATCTTCTTAAGGGCAACCTCAGACTTCCTGCATAGTAAAACAGCCTCGATTTTGTGCCCATTAAGAAATCCCAGCTAATCTATTCATAAAACATATTCAGCTCCTGGGTGATGGGATTAAAAAGGACAGGACTTGACCTTTAGGACATAATAGGATTAACGCCCCCTTCATGGATTACTGCCTTGTCATGGCGAAGGGGCTTGCGTAGCTCAAATGAAGCAATGAGCTATGCCATGCAGGGCCACCCAAGACAGACTGGTCATAGTAGGGAGTTCTGACAAAATGTGATCCACTGGAGAAGGAAATGGCAAGCCACTCCAGTGTCTTTGCCATGAAAACCCCATGGTCAGTACCAAAAGGAAAAAAGAGATGATGCTGGAAGATGAGCCCCTCAGGTTGGAAGGTGTCTGATATGCTACTGGGGAAGAGCAGAGGCCTAGTACTAGTAGCGTCAGAAAGAGTGAAGCGACTGGGCCAAAGCCAAAAGGACGCTCAGCTGTGGATGCATCTGGTGGTGAAAGGAAAGTCCGATGCTGTAAAGATCTAATCTCCATAGGAACCTAAGATCCATGAATCAAGGCAAGCTGGACGTGGTCAAACAAAAGATGACAATAATAAATATCGACATCTTAGGAATCAGCGAACAGGAATGGGTGAATTTAATTCAGATGACCATCAGATATACTACTGCGGGCAAGAATCCCTCAGAAGAAATGGAGTAGCCTTCACAGGCAATAAAAGAGTAGGAAAAGCAATACTGGGATACAATCCCCAAAATGACAGAATGATCTCAGTTCGGATCCAAGGCAAACCATTCAATATCACAGAAGTCCAAGTCTATGCCCCAACCACTGGTGCTGAAGAGGATGAAACTGACCGGTTCCATGAAGGCCTACAGCACCTTATAGAATTAACACCAAAAAATGATGTCCTTATCATCATGGGGGATTGGAATGCTACAGTAGGAAGCCAAAAGATAACCGGAATAACAGGCAAGTTTGGCCTTGGAGTACAAAATGAAGCAGAGCACAGGCTGATACAATTTCGACAAGGGAATACGATGGTCATAGCAAACACTCTTTTCCAACAACCCAAGAGATGATTCTACACATGGACATCACCAGACGGTCAACACAAAAATCAGATTGACTATGTGCTCTGCAGCCAAATATGGAGAAGCTCTATAGCAGTGATGGCTAACCTTTTTGCCATCATGTGCCAAAAGTGGGGGGAGCCCTGGGGGTTTGTACGTGTGTGTGCTCACACCCATAATTCTATGCGCCCCACCCCAGCACATGTATGTGTGACACAAACACCCGCGCTTCCCTTGCTTTTGGCATGTGATGGCACAGCGGGCCCAGTAGACCCCTTTTTTTGCCCTCCCCAGGCTCCAGAGCCTTTCTAGGAGCCTTGGGAGGGCGGAAATGACCTTCTCCACCTCCCTGGAAGCTCTCCGGAGGCCGGAAATGGTCTGTTTGCCGAATTCCAGTGGGCCCAGAAGGCCCAAAAATCAGCTGGCCGGGGCGCACATGTGTGCCAGAGCTGAGTTTGCGTGCCCACTGATATGGCGCTGCGTGTCACCTGTGGCACGCCTGCCATAGGTTCGCCATCATGGCTCTAAACAGTCAGTAAAAACAAGAACAGGAGCTGACTGCGGCTCAGATCATGAGCTTTTCGTTGCAAAATTTAGGCTTAAATTGAAGAAAGTAGGGAAAAGCACTAAGCCAATCAGGTATGAACTAAATCATATCCCTGATGAATATACAGCAGAGGTGACAAATAGGTTTAAGGAATTAGATCTGATAGAGTGCCTGAAGAACTATGGACGGAGGTCCGCAGCATTGTACAAGAGGTAGCAATTAAAACCATCCCAAAGAAAAAGAAATGCAAGAAAGCAAAATGGCTGTCTGAGGAAGCTTTGCAAATAGTTGAGGAAAGAAGGGAAGCGAAAGACAAGGGAGAAAGAGAAAGATACACCCAATTGAATACAGAATTCCAGAGAATAGCTAGAAGAGATAAGAATACCTTCTTAAATGAACAGTGAAAAGAAATAGAAGAAAACAACAGAATAGGAAGGACTAGAGATCTCCTCAAGAAAATTGGAGATATGAAGGTAACGTTTCATGCAAAGATGGGCATGATAAAGGACCAAAATGGCAGGGATCTAACAGAGGCAGAAGAGATTAAGTAGAGGTGGCAAAATTACACAGAAGAACTATACAAGAACGAGCTTAACATCCCTGACAACCACGATGGGGAGGTCACGGACCTCGAGCCAGACATCCTAGAATGTGAAGTCAAATGGGCCTTAGGAAATGTGAGCAACAACAAAGCTAGCAGAGGTGACAGTATCCCAGCTGAGCTATTCAAAATCTTAAAAGACAATGCAGTAAAAGTGCTACACTCAATTTGCCAGCAAATTTGGAAAACTCAGCAGTGGCTGCAGGATTGGAAAAGGTCAGTTTACATTCCAATTCCAAAGAAAGGCAATGCCAAAGAATGTTCAAACTATTGCACCATTGCACTCATTTCACATGCTGGTAAAGTTATGCTTAAAATCCTACAAGCTAGGCTCCAGCAGTATGTGGCTCGAGAACGACCAGAAGTACAGGCAGGATTTCGAAGAGGCAGCGGAACTAGAGATCAAACATATGCTGGATCATAGAGAAAGCTAGGAAGTTCCAGAAAAACATCTACTTCTCCTTCATTGACTATGCTAAAGCCTTTTATTGTGTGGATCACAACAAATTGAGCCTTGGTAGTACAGGGGTTTAAGGCACCCTGTTATTAAGCTGGTTATTAAGACCAGCTGCCTGCAATTACTGCAGGGTTCGAATCTCGCCAAGGCTCAAGGTTGACTCAGCCTTCCATCCTTTCTAAGGTAGGTAAATTGAGGACCCAGTTGTGGGGGCAATAAGCTGACTTTGTATAAATATACAAAAAGGATGAAGGCTATTGCTGAGCACATTGTAAGCCGCCCTGAGTCTTCGGAGAAGGGCGGCATATAAATCAAATTTAAAAAAAAAAAAAAATTGTGGCAAGTTCTTAAAGAGATGGGTGTACCAGACCATCTTATTATTATTATTATTTTAATTTGATTTATATGCCGACCTTCTCCAGAGACTCAGGGCTGCTTACAAGGTGTTAAGCAATAGCCTTCATACTTTTGTATATAAGTCAGCTTATTGTCCCCACAAACTGGGTCCTCAATTTACCTACCTTTGAAAGGATGGAAGGCTGAGTCAACCTTAGCCTGGTGAGATTCGAACTTACAGTAATTGCAAACAGCTGGTGTTAATCACAATGCTATTAGTCTGCTGAGCCACCGGGCCCTTATTTGTCTCTTGAGAAACCTATATGCAGGTCAAGAAGCAACGGTGAGAACTGGACAAGGAACCACTGATTGGTTCAAAATTGGGAAAGGAGTCCAGCAAGGCTGTATACTGTCAACCTGACTATTTAACTTATATGCAGAGCAAATCATGGAAAGGCGGGGCTAGAGGAATCAAAAGTTGGAATTAAGATTGCTGGGAGAAATATCAACAACCTCAGATATGCAAACGATACCACTCTAATGGCAGAACGCGAAGAGGAATTAAAGAGCCTCTCGATGTGGGTGAAGGAGGAGAGTGCAAAAGTTGGCTTGAAAATCAACATTAAGAAAACTAAGATCATGGTATCCAGCCCTCTCAATTCCTGGCAAATAGATGGGGAAGAAATGGAGGTAGTGACAGATTTTACTTTCCTGGGCTCCAAGATCACTGCAGATGGGGACTGCAGCCAAGAAATGAAAAAATGCTTGCTCCTGGGGAGGAAAGCTATGACAAATTTAGACAGCATACTAAAAAGCGGAGACGTCACCCTGCCAACAAAAGTGTGTATAGTCAAGGCCATGGCTTTCCCAGTTGCAATATATGGCTGTGAAAGTTGGATTATAAGAAAGGCTGAGCGCCAAAGAATTGAGGCCTTTGAACTATGGTGCTGGAGAAGACTCCCGCGAGTCCCTTGGACTGCAAGGCGATCAAACCGGTCAGTCCTAGAGGAGATCAACCCTGACTGCTCTTCAGAAGGCCAGATCCTGAAGAGGAAACTCAAATACTTTGGCCACCTAATGAGAAGGAATCATTAGGTGAAGATTGAGGGCAAAAGAAGAAAGGGACGATGGAGTCACTGAAGCAATCGGCGTGAGTTTAAATGGACTCCAGAGGATGGTAGAGGACAGGAAGGCCTGGAGGACCATGGGGTCACGATGGGTCGGACACGACTTTGCAACTAACAACAAGGAAAACATCCACCAAGAAGAAGCTGCCCCATCACAGCCTTTTCTGGGCAAAACAAGGACAATATAAAGCTTAGAAATTCTACCCATCTTTTTAAAGCAGAAGCAAAGGAAAGATTAGCCTAAAAACAGAGGATTTTTTTATTTTTCGCCTTTTAGACGGAGCTCCAAGAAAGTGGGTCTCTTCGGGTGTGTGAAGAAAACAGGAGCTCCCCTCAAATCATTGAAACCTTTTCTGTCTCCTAAACGCTCCCCTCCCCATTGCAACGAAGTCAGCCTGTGTTAAGACCAGGGTGGAAAAAAATCAATGATTTTTTTAAAAAAATCAAAAAAAATCAGATTTTTTTTATTTAAATCGGATTTTTTTTTATTTAAATCGGTTTTTTTATTTTTATCGAATTTATTTTAATAAAAAACTTTTGGGATAAAAATCTTATCGTAACATAGTTTTCTATTTAAGATACATAAATAATTTAGTTTATTCAGCATGAAATGGAGCTTAGTTATGTAGCAGGAGGCTGCATATTCTGCAACACTGGGACTATCGGTGAGTCAACAGTGGGTCAAAGGAGTAGCAGAGATGACAGTTGCTCTTTAAAAATTATGATTTAAATCGAGTTGATTTAAATCAAGCCTTTTTCCTAGTGATTTAAATCATGATTTAAACTGTGATTTAAATCAACTCGATTTAAATCAAATCCACCCTGGTTAAGACCACATGACAAATGTCACTAAATGGATCAAAGCTCCGTTTATTCCATTTTTCCCACTGCACTTCAGGGGAACGGATGTTGAGAGGCTTCCTGGTTCCGACGGACCACAGGGAGACCTTCTGAAATAGAACCTCCCCAAATGCTCCTTCCCGGATCCACCCTCGGGGAGCCTTGGGCCTGGCAAGGAGGGGGCAGATCCAGCCCGGGGACGGAACCCCCTTTGCCCACCTGGAGGGAAGGGAGGGATCCGCTCCTTGCAGGCAATGCCAGAGCCGGATCTCCCCAAGGAAGACCTTGAAAGCCGAAAAGAGAGGGATCCGCAGCTCCCTTCCTTCCTGGCGGGGAGGAGATCTGGCAAGAGGGGCGGCCTGGAGGCCGGAGGGAGAGCAGCCCCACCTGCCGGGAAGCGAGATCCAGGAGCCTCTCCCGAGGAATCCAGCGCCGATCCTCGCTGGGGAAACGGGAATCGCGGAGGAAATCCGAGATCCAGCCAGTGGGAGGGGAGAGGCGGGGCTTCTGCTCTTCTCTCGGGATCTGGCTCCGCCCTGCAGCCCCCGCCCCTTGGCCAACTCCTCCCCCCCCAGCCAGAACCACGTGCTCCGAAACTTCTGTTCCAGCGATGGGGGTCGGTGTCGAGGGTTCCTCTGCCCATAGGAAGAGTGTCCCTCTCTGCACGTTGGAAGCAGGGCTGCCCCTTCTGCTCCCAGTGTGTATGATGTACTTCTATGAGGTCAGACACAGAGAAACCCTGTTCAAAGTGCCAGTAAACCAGCAGCGATCTTCAGTTCCTTTTTTTGGACTTTTTTGGGGGTTCCTTCCTAACTGGAAAATAAATATTTATTTTTTTACCCCCAGGAACTTTTCATTCAGATATCATCAGATATTGATCTCTAATAGTCACTAGTGCAGGGTTTACATCAGAGGTCTTCGAACTTGGCAGCTTTAAGACTTTGTGGACTTCAACTCCCAGAATTCTCCAGCCAGCTATGCTGGAGTTGAATTCTGGGAGTATGAATTCTGGGAGTTGAACTCCACAAGTCTTAAAGCTGCCAAGTTTGAAGACCTAGTTTACATGATGACCCTCCATCGTGAGAGTTTAAATTGGGTGGGGGTCTCTGAGCACAGGTGGGTCTTCTCACATTCCTTTGTTTCCTAATCACCAGAACCCCCCCCCCCAGACAGGAGAGAGTTTGGGGGAGCAGCTCAGATCTCCTGCTTGTTCCCATAAAGGTGTTAGAAGAAATATCCTTCTGGCTTCGGCTCCAAGTGGGGAAAAAGACACTGGAAACATGGAGACTGCTTGGAAAGATGGTTTAATGGTGGACAGGATCACATGGCTTGAGTTCCTGAACAGAAAAGGGGCCGAGATGCAGCGAGTCCCCCCCCCCCCGGTTTTATGCCCTCTCTGGCTTTGAACTTCCTGGGGCCCAGAAAGAGTATCCTGATTGGTTGTCAGACTCTCAAGGGGTGGGGGTCTTAGCTAGCCTTGCTGGCTGATGTAACCTTCCCAGGTGCCCTGTGGTGAGTTACTGTTGCTTGATGGGTCCTATTGTGTTGCAGATGATGGACAAAGATTGAGTTTCTGCCTTTGGCCCATTGACAAAGGGTGGGGAGGGGGCAAGAAGGTGGGAGCTGCTTCGTCTTTTAAAACATGCTTCTCCATTTCTCATCCAGGGAAACATAATATTCTGCCTTTTTAATATTTCCTAAAATATTTCATTCTTCTAGGAAAGGGGTGGGTGCTAACTTCCTACATCGCACAGCACATTTTCAACATGCACAGCGCAATTGCCACATACTCAGGGGCACAAGTCCATCATCACACAGGCACCCCTGACTTTTCATAATCAATGCTGTCCTGCGTGCTGGGTCTGTGACACCCCCAATACCTTCACAGATACAGCCATTCCTTGATTATAATTGATACAGCAGGTTTTAATATGCCTTAAGTATTGCAGGTAATTTCATATTAATGCTGCACCTAACCCAGGTTTCCTGAGATACTTAGGGCTCAGGGAACTGGATCAGGGTGTAGCCTCAATAGCATGAAGGTATTGTGGGAACCGAAAATATAGCCTACTGATCAGGGTGAAATGCTCCCGGTTCGGACCGGATCGCCCGATCCGGAAGCAATGGAGGCGGGTGGTTCGGAGAACTGGTAGCAAAAATCCCTGCCCACCCCACCATGCCCAGCTGAGCCGCACAATCATCAGAGGCTTTTTTTTTTTACTTTTAAAAACATTTTTTCTATAACCTCTTCAGCCAAAAAAATGCTTTTAAAAATAAAAATAAAAAAGCCTCTTATGATCGCACGGCTCAGCCGGGATCGTCAAAGGCTTTTAAAAGAAAAAAAACCTTTTTTTTTGTTTTAAATGCCTCTGACGATCCCGGCTGAGTTGCCTGATCAGCAGAGGCTTCTAAAAAAGCCTCTGCCGATCAGGCAACTCAGCTGGGATCGTCAGAACTTTGAAAGCATTTTTTTACAACCTCTTCACCGAAGAGGTTGTAGAAAAAATGCTTTTAAAAGTAAAAAAAAAAATATTGGCCATGCCCACCGTCACATTACCCCACCACCATCAAGCCACACCCACAGAACCGGTAGTAACAAATTTTAGATTTCACCACTGCTATTGATCTATTGGATTTAATAAGGAAATGCTCCTTTTTTTCCCATGGATGTGTGAGTTTGGATGAAAGAGTTGTGTAAAAAGGCCCCTTAAGAGTTGAGGGGTCCTTGAGGCTCCCAGAGCTTGGTGGTTGGTTGCTGCCCTGATGATGTTACCCAGTTCGGGTAATGAGATGTCTCCAGGGAGACACCAAAGCTCAGAGACCATGAAGGACCCATCATTTCCACCCTGAGTTATTTCCTGGATTGATTTTAAGATTTATGGAATTTCTGGAGCTGAAGAAGAGGGGAGGAGGGATCACAACCCATAGGAAGAGCAGCTCCGAGGGGAACTCCACCTCCCCTGGAGTTAGGGGCACCTCATCCCTTTTGCTAAAGTGGGATCCACTTCTGAGGAACCAGTTGTCCAGACCAAGAGGCTCTCAGTTGACCTTCCGTGTATCCCAGGACTGGACCTTCTTCTCAAGGAGCCTTAAATCCATAAAGAGAAAGAGCCTCCATCAGACTTGAGGAGCATCCGGGTACCAGGCGCCTCTGGGGAACCAGGTGTCCGGATCAAGGGGCTCACAAGGGGTCCTGCCCTGTGCTTGGAGGGGACAGGGAGATGCCCGAAGCCCCCTGAAGTAGCCAATAGGAGTTGGGCAGATCCCAACATCTGAGTACATCAGCAACTACGTCATAAAGGACATTCCTAGGGGAAGAAGAGGGAAAACTTCCAACCTAAACCAGCTAGGTAAACATTATGCTGCTTTGGTCTGGGGAGGACATGCCAGTTTATGGAGGACAGAGGAGAGAATTAACCAGGGTGGATAAAAATCAATGATTTTTTAAAAAAAATAAAAAAAAATCAGATTTTTTTTATTTAAATCAGATTTTTTTGATTTTTATCGAATTTATCTTAATAAAAAACTTTGGGGGTAAAAATCTATCGTAAGATAGTTTTCTATTTAAGATACATAAATAATTTAGTTTATTCAGCATGAAATGGAGCTTAGTTACGTAGCATGAGGCTGTATATTCTGCAACACTGGGACTATCGGTGAGTCAACAGTGGGTCAAAGGAGTAGCAGAGATGAGAGTTGCTCTTTAAAAATTATGATTTAAATCGAGTTGATTTAAATCAAGCCTTTTTCCTAGTGATTTAAATCATGATTTAAATTGTGATTTAAATCAACTCGACTTAAATCAAATCCACCCTGGAATTAACCAAGCAAGGAGTTAAGGCAGGTCTCCATTAGTGCGGTTCATGAATCCCACCCAAAAATTACATTCAGTTCACATGATTTGAAGTGTTATTTGTATGGAAAATAGGTTAATTGGGTTGGGGAAAAAGGCAAGAAAAATATTTGTAATATAACATGATATATGAACAATAATGAAACCTCACAATAAAAGACTATACTTGAAAATACTTAAAATTTAAGTTCAATGGTAATTTAAGATTACTTGACTACGAAAAACATTTTCCCCACACCAAACAATTGTAGGATTTCTCTTCTGTCACTGCGTGAAATTCACGATGAATGGCAAGGTGTGACTTTTGGAAAAAAAAACTGTTTCCCTGCATTGTTGACAACTGAAAAGATTTATCTCTGCTACGGACTTTCTGGTGCATTTTTAGCTGGGATTTTACAATGAAAAGTGTTCACTCTGCACACTTGTGAGGCCATGATGTTGGGTGTGGGTGTGAAGTGCTGAAGGACGGATGAAACATTTTCTACTCTCTAGGCATTTGTTTTTTCTCCAGTGTGGATTTGCTGATGCTTCAAAAGAGACCTTTTTTGACAAAAGCTTTTATCACACTCTGAGCATTTATGGGGCTTCTCTCCTGTATGGATTCGGCTGTGGTTTCTGAGGAGAGATGACCGAGCAAATGCTCTCCCACACTCTAAACATTTGTAATTTTTTTCACCTGTGTGAATTTTTATATGATCTCTAAGGGCTGATGTGCTACTATAAAATCTCCTGCATTCGTTGCATTGGTATGGTTTCTCCCCTGTGTGAATTTTCTGATGGGCCCAAAGGTTTCCCTTATAAGCAAAAGATTTTCCACATTCTATGCATCTGTATGGCTTCATTCCTGTGTGGACCTTCTGATGGACTCCAAGGTTTTGTTTTTTGGGAGAAGCACTTCCCGCACTCCCCACATTTGAATGGCTTCTCCCCTGTGTGGATTCTCTTGTGACTCTGAACCTCGCTTTGTGTAAGAAAACCTTTCCCACACTCCCCACATTGATAGGGTTTCTCCTCTTGGTGCCTCTTCTGGTGTCTCCGAAGTTCAGAAGAATCCACAAATCGTTTCTCACATTCTGGACATTCATAGGGTCTCTCTCCAGTGTGAAGTCTCTGATGTCGCACCAGATTTGATTTAAGATAAAACATTTCCCACATTTGAGGCACTTTTCATTTTTCTCGCCTCTGTGTGTTTTCTCATGATTGTGAAGATAGACACTCAGGGTGAAACATTTTCCACACTCAAAGCATTTGTAAGATTTGATTCCTGCATGAATCTTCTCATGGACCCAAAGACTTGACTTCTGAGAAAAGCTCTTCCCACATTCCCAACACTTGTAAGGTTTCTCCCCTGTGTGAATCCTCTTGTGGTCTCTAAGAGTGGCTTCTTTACGGAAAATTTTCCCACATTCCAGACATTGATAAGGTTTCTCTCCAGTGTGGATTTTCTGATGTCTCCAAAGTCCTCCTGTATAAGCAAAACATTTCCCACATTCTATGCATCTGTATGGCTTCACTCCTGTATGGACCCTCTGATGGATTCCAAGGTTTTTTTTTTCGGGAAAAACATTTCCCGCACTCCACACATTTGAATGGCTTCTCCCCTGTGTGGATTCTTTGATGAATCTGGACCTCACTTTGTGCAAGAAAGCCTTTCCCACACTCCCCACATTTATAGGGTTTCTCCACTGTGTGCCTCTTCTGGTGTCTCCGAAGTTCAGAAGAAGCCACAAATGTTTTCCCACATTCTGGACATTTATAGGGGTCTCTCTCCAGTGTGAAGTCTCTGATGTCGCACCAGATTTGATTTACAAGTGAAACATTTCCCACATTTGAGGCACTTTTCGTTTTTCTCCCCTCTGTGGGTTTTCTCATGATTGTGAAGATAGACACTCAGGGTGAAACATTTTCCACACGAAAAGCATTTGTGAGATTTTATTCCTGCATGAATCTTCTCATGGACCCGTAGACTTGCCTTCTGAGAAAAGCTCTTCCCACATTCCCAACACTTGTAAGGTTTCTCCCCTGTGTGAATCCTCTTGTGGTCTCTGAGCCTGGCTTTTTTAGGGAAGAATTTCCCACATTCCAGATATTGATAAGGTTTCTCTCTAGTGTGGATTTTCTGATGTCTAAGAAGTCCTGACTTTTGAGCAAAGCGTAAATCACATTCCTCACATTTATAGGGGTTTAATCTGGGGGGCCTTCTGAGATCTTTGGCGTCTTTTCCAGAAGATTTCTCACCTTCAAAGTCTTGATTGGATCCACTTCCCACATGGACCTTCCTGTGGGTCAGAAGGAGGGACTGGAAAGCAAAGGATTTCCCACACACTGAGCATTCGTGGGATTGTTTCTGGTTTTTCGGAGTGCTGCTTGTGTCTGACGGGGGATTCAAAAGTTTCCCACACTCCATGCGTTCTGGCAGCTGCTGCCATGTGCCGATTTCCTACTATCTGTTGATAGTTGACTTGCAGGTAAATCTTTGATGACAGTTGCTTCCTGCTGTAGGAAGGAAAGAGAAACAGAGAATTTCCTTTTCAGAAATGTAGAGACTCATGGAATAGAAATCATAGACTTACAATGTCAACATCATACAAAGAAAACCTCTATAAAATGTTTTATAGATGGCATTATTCACCTGCAAGGTTAGCAAACATGTATAAAAACAGGCCTGTTAAATATTGGTAGTGCAGTCAGACACCAGGCTCCTATTACCATATGTGGTGGACATGTCCCAAAGCAAAAAAATACTGGAAGAAAATACGCATATGGCTGGAAAATATCACAAGACAATACATGAGACATTTTTGTTGGGCATACTTCCAGGAAACTATAATAAGGGTAACACATATTTGATTTTACATATCCTAACAGCAGCTAGGATTGTGTATGCCCAATGTTGGAATAACCCAGAAACCCCTGCAGATGATATTATCATCAAAAAAATTCTGGAGTGTGCAGAGATGGACAGGATAACCCCCAAAAATTAAAAGGAAAAGAAGGATTCAGATTATTTTATAACATGGGAACTATTCTACAAATGGTTAAATGACAAATATTGAGGTTAGTGGAATGGAATTGGATGAAATATGGTCTACATGAGAAAGAAAAACAGGTAATATTTTGATGGTTATATAATCGATACTTTGATGGAAGATATATGTTGTAAAGATGATTGATATTATCGCATATTTGTTTACACATTACCGCAAACCTTTTCTTTTCTTCTGGCAGCCAGCAGGCCCTATCAAAAGCCCAGAATCGAGTGGATGTGACTCCACTGAGCTAGGGCTGTAGAAAGAAAAATCTTGGTTACGTAGGAGAAACCTGGCTAAAAGAAAAACACACATAAAACCTACGAAAATTAAGAAGAAAATAGATATTGTACCTTTACAGGGAGGATACATGAGATGTGGGTGTGGCTTACTGATGACGGCTAATGAGCCAGAAATAGATCTATATAAGTCTCTCACTAGGCAGCATAGGGCAGTATAGGACCTGCTGGCTGCCAGAAGAAAAGAAAAGACCAGAATCGAGTGGATGTGACTCCACTGAGCTAGGGCTGTAGAAAGAAAAATCTTGGTTACGTAGGAGAAACCTGGCTAAAAGAAAAACACACATAAAACCTACGAAAAGTAAGAAAAATTCCTGAAAATAAGACTGATAATAAGCCCAATTGGGATTTTGAGCGTATGCGCTAAAATAAGGCTCCCCCTGAAAATATTTAAACTCAGAGCTGGAAATCAGGTAAGATGGCAAGAGGAGCCCAATCTTACTCCACGTGCCCCAAAATAATAAGACATCCCCAAAAATAAGGCCAAGCGCTTATTTCGGGGTTCAAAAAAATATAAGACAGAGTCTTATTTTCGGGGAAACATGGTATAGGACAGTGATGGCTAACCATTTTGTCGTTGCTTGCCAAAAGCGGGGGGAATGAGGGGAGGTCACCCACGTGTGTGCCCACCCCCATAATCCAATACGCCCCGCCCCTGCGTGCCCTCCTGCTTTTAGTATGTGAAGGCCCATTTTTCACCCTCCCCAGGCTCCAGAGGCTTTCTAAGAGCCTGGGGAGGGTGAAAATGGCCTTCCCCACCCCCTACCCCGGAGGCCGGAAACAGCCCATTTCCCAACTTCCAGTGGGACCGAAAGGTCCAAAAACCAGCTGGCCGGCACACACATGCGCGCTGGAGCTGAGCTACGGCAACACTCGCATGCCCACTGATATGACTCCGTGTGCCACCTGTGGCACCCGTGCCATAGGTTCGCCACCACGGATATAGGATTGTAGTGATGATAATATTGTTGGTATGTTGACACCATGGACACCTAGAGAATGCGCTGCTCAACATAGAAATGGAATGTATGATATAAAACAATCAAACATATTTTTAAAAAAAGAAATGTGGAGACTCACAAAATCACTAGGAGGAAAACTCTCATGCCGTTGTGGTCATTAAGTGATTTTGTGGGTTGTTAGGTGAAGGGAGACCCAGGGAAGAAGTGGAGGGGTGCCTGAATAGGGTGGGGAAGACGCTGGAGGTGCAGCACAGGCCACGCATGAATTAAGAGAGCTGCAGTGAGGTGTTAAAGGTGCAGCCACTGCCAAAAGCTTCAGTCGCCCCAGCTGGGCCCTACAATAGGGCAGAAATGCCAGGGTGGTGCCTTAACTGGAGGCTGAAGACTAAAACCATTTCAGCCATCCCCCAGTGACCCCAAGCCTGGACTTCAGCCCAGTGCCACTGCTGCCACCAAGAAAAACAGCCTTAATCCCCAGACTCCGGCCTTTGCAGCTTTGTGCCATTCTCCAAGCCGCATGTTCCATAGTCCAACAGGGGCCTATGCATAGTTGTGAGTAGGAAAACTCAAAGGAAGACAAGTGAGATCAGAAAAGGGATCCTCTTTCCTGCCCTTTTTGGAGGCTGTAGGGCCACCAAGATTCCAGGCTTCCTGGGATCCAATGCTACTTGGGCAGCCATTTTAAAATCACGCAAGGCAACTTTTTGGCCATCAAAACAGCTTGTTCTACCAGCTGCTCACAAGACCAGCCTCAAATTTTCCTTAAGAGTTTGTGCTTTCTAAAACATCCACCAAGAAGGGGCTGCCACAATGATAGAGGTAAGTGAAAGGTCTTCAAAATTTAAAATTGTAAAATTGTAAAAGTAGCTGCAAGGGGAAATAGCTAGCTTGAAGGTAAAACAAAGCGAACTGAAAAACAGGAAAGAGAATAAGAGGAATAAGAGGAATGACCCTATTGTTCGAAGAATGCATAAAATAACCAGAAAACAAGCTAAAAGAGAATGCTCCATAAACTATTGAATATTGACCCACCTTGCATAGATTGTCTGCTCATTTAAATGCACATATAATATATATGATTTAGCATGTTTGGGGAAGGAAGCAGGAAATATGTAGAAGACAAGTCAGAGAGAATGTAACCTCATAGTATCTCAGCCAATGGGGAACGAGGAGGGATGGGCGGCCAGTGTAGGGAATTTATAAAGATCTTGATTTGAGATGGTGAACTTTGGAGAGAATCAAACTTTCAAAGCTTCTCCCCGTTTATTGTAATAAGCCAAACAGAAGGCCTTCACTGCCTCTTGGCTGGTTATTGGTCAGGCAAGTTTGCCACTTGTTGCAGAGTAAAGTAGCCAGGAGGACATCACAGACCCAAAGCTACTTTGGACAGGCATTTTAAAATCATGCAAGGCAACCTTCTGGCCATCAGCCTTGGTAGTACAGTGGTCTAAGGCACCCTGTTATTAAGCTGGTTATTAAGACCAGCTGCCTGCAATTACTGCAGGTTCGAATCTCGCCAAGGCTCAAGGTTGACTCAGCCTTCCATCCTTTCTAAGGTAGGTAAATTGAGGACCCAGTTGTGGGGGCAATAAGCTGACTTTGTATAAATAAACAAAAGAATGAAGGCTATTGCTTAACGTATTGTAAGCCGCCCTGAGTCTCCGGAGAAGGGCGGCATATAAATCAAATTAAAAATAAAAATCAGCTTCTTCTAGGAGCTGCTCACAAGACCAGCCTCAAAACTTCCTTAGAGTTTGTGGTTTCTAAAACATCCACCAAGGAGCATCTGCCGCATCACAGCCTCTTCTTGGGCAAAACAAGGAAAATACAAAGCATATAAATTCTAGCCAGATTTTGAAAGAAAAAGCAAAGTAAAGATTAGCATAAAAATAAAGATTATTGTACATCTTTTAGACGGAGCTCAAAGCAAGAGGAACTCTTGGGGGTGGGTGGGTGAAGAAAACATAAGCCCCGTTCAAACCATTTAAACCTTTTCTATCTCCCAAACTCTCCCCTCCCCATTGCAATGAAACCAGTCCGTGTTAAATCCACATGGCATCTCTCAAAAAAAACCACTTAAAAGCTCCCGTTTACTCCATTTTTCCAACTGCGCTGGAGGGAAACGGATGTTGAGAGGCTTCTTGGTCAAACGGACCACAGAGAGACCTTCTGAAAACAAAAGCTCCTTCCCGGATCCACCCGGATCCCCCACCCCTCCACCCGGGGAGCCTTGGCCGGGCGAGGAGGGGGAAGATCCACCTCCTTTTGCTCCCCTGGAGGGAATGGACTGGAGGGATCCGTTACCTCCAGAGGGATCCGTTACCGCCAGAGCCGGATCTCCCCGAGGAAAACCCTGCAAACCGAAGAGCGGGATCCGCAGCTGCCTTCCTCCTGGCGGGGAGGAAGATCTGCTGGCAGGAGGGACGGCCTGGAAGCCGGAGGAAGAGCAGCCCCACCTGCCCCGAGCGGGATCCAGGAAGCTCTCACGAGGGATCCAGCGCCTGTCCTGCCTGCGTGAAGAGGGACTCGCGGAGGGAAGCGGAGATCCAGCCAGGGGGAGGGGAGAGGCGGGGAGGGGCGGAGCTTCTGGCTTCATCTGGGGCTCCGCCTACTCCTTGAGGCCCCGCCCCTTGACCATCTCTTCTCCTTCCCTACGTGCTCTGAAACTCTTTGTGTGTTTTTGTGATTGTGTGTGTGTGTCTGTATCTATGAGCACGCTAGAAACTGAAGCTCTGCAAATGCCCTGAAAGAGTTTGGCAAAAAGGCCCCATAAGAGTTGAAGGGTCCTTGGGGGCTCCCTGAGATTGGTGGTTGGTTGCTGCCCTGATGATGTTACCTAGTTTGGGCAATGAGACGTCTCAGGGGAAACACCGAAGCTCAGAGATCACCAAGAACCCCCCCCCCCCATTTCCACCCTGAGCTATTCTCCCCAATTGATTTTAAGGCTTTTGGTGTTTCTGGAGCTGGTGAAGGGGGAGATCCTGACCCAGAGGAAGAGCAGCATATACACCAGCTCCCCTCGAGTTAGGCGCACCTCATCCCTTGTGCTACAGTGGGATCCACTTCTGGGGAACCAGATGTCGAGATCCAGATGCTTCCATTTAGCTCAGGACTGGACCTTCTTCCCAAAGAGCCTTAAATCCATAAAGAGAAAGAGCCTCCATCAGACTTGAGGAGCATCTGGGCACCAGGCGCCTCTGGAGAACCGGGTGTCCGGATAAAGGGGCTCACAGGGGGTCCCGCCCTGTGCTTGGAGGGGACAGGAAGATGCCAGAAGCCCCCCCCGAAGTAGCCAATAGGAGTTGGGCAGATCCCAGCTTCTGAGCACATCAGCAACTAGGTCACAAAGGACCCATTTCTATGGGATCAAGAGAGAAAAGGCCCCTTCCCAAGTAAAACAGCCAGGAAAACATTCTGCCGCATTCAGCTGGGGAGGAGATGCCATTTCATGGAGGAGGAGGAGGTGGAGAGAATGAATCAGGGTTAAAGAAAGCCTCAGGAAGACTCCACACCCCTTTGCACCCTGATTCAGCACCAAATGACTGCAAGGAATATCAATCCTTCCATCCTCCACCGCTCATTCAGAACTGAAGAAGCTCCTGGGATGAGAAGGGAAACGTTTTCAAGGGGAAAAAAACCAAGACTCTCCATTGAGATCCCTGGCTCCGTTTTGCCCTTTTGAAACCACAGCACTCAGCCTGGACGCCTAGGGGCCTTAAAAGACCTTAAAGGGGCATGTAGACCACCCCTGCAAGCACACAGGGAATGGAAGATTTGGGTTGAGAATCATGGAGGACTCAAAAGGAAGCCCACACTGCTCTCTGGTCCTGTCATGAAGCTGCAACCCCACCCCCCCCACCAGACTGAAAATCTCCCCCTCTCTCCCCCTCTGCTTCTATTGGGGGGTGGGGTCTGAGTTGCTCTTCCCAACTCTCCCTTCAGTGAAAGGTGCTGGAGCCCCTCCCTTTGAGTTTTGGGCGGCTACAGGGGGGCCAATTTGGAAGGGGGACAGGAAAGAGGCCTCAAAAACCATTCAAAGAAAGCTAGTGGAGCTGAAGACTGGGGGGGAGAAGAAAACTTCAGAGTATCCAGGGCAGGTGGCGGTTGAAGGGCTGGGAGAGCCCAGGAGTATGGGTATAGGTATCCTTATTGCAGGGGTGGGTTCTACTTACCTTTACTACCGGTTCGCAACAGGATCAGGACAGGTTTCCCACCCCTCCTCTGAGAAGCGTGGCTCACTCCACTAGTAGCTGCTGGGATCCATGGACAGCCTTCCTCCTCCTCCTCCTCCGCCCCCAAGAAGCCGATTTCCTGATCCAGTGGAGGTCCGACAGCCCCTCCCTCAACCCACTTTGGCTGCACAGTACGGCACAATCTGACTGCCATCTTGTCTGTTTTGAGCCACCAGTCCATCTCCTGAAAAAGGCCCTCTTGATTATTTTGAGCAATATACTTTTATTCAGGATTATATGCACAGAAAGAAAATTAATACAAATATCTCTGTGGGAATATATGAAAAAGACAATGAAAAAAAGGGGGGGGAATCCCTTTTTCCCTCTTCATCCTCAGCCAGCAGATTCAACATCAAAACTTTATCACTAAATAAACCATCAGATTCATTCTACCTTCACCCCATTTTCCCATCTCTAAATTCTCACTTCCCATTGATCAACACAGTCTACTAAAAAATTAATAGAAATACCTGGTTCCTTAACTTAGGAACTTATTACCAGAAATCCATTCCAAGTTGTGGTCATAGCTCAAGGACTTCCTCTCTGCAAAACATTATATCTACTCCTCACATACTTATAACTCTTTTGTGTAATTACTCTGCTAAGTTACTAATGCGGCTTTGCGAGCAAAATATTCTCACTCCCCCAACATTTACACCCTTTTGCCTCATTGTGTTCTCTCTGATGGGATTTGATGTTGTTTTCCTTCAGTAGATGAAACATTTTCCCCACACCAAATAATTGTAGGATTTCCTTTCTGTCACTGTGTGAAATTCCTGGTAAACGTTGTGTTGAAAAGAAGTGTTCCCAATGTTATTCACAGCTGAAGAGATTTATCTCTGCTATGGAATTTTTGGTCCCTTTTTAGCTTTGATTTACTAGGAAAAGGTTTCTCGCACTCTGTGCATTTGTAAGGCTACTTTCCTGTGTGATTTCGGGTGTGCGTGTGAAGTGTTGTAGGATGGGCAAAACATTTCCCACACTCCAGACATTTATAAGGTTTCTCTCCAGTGTGGATTCGCTGATGCCTCACAAGAGAATCTCTCCGTGAAAAACATTTATCGCACTCTGAGCATTTGTAGGGCTTCTCTCCTGTATGGATTCGGCTGTGACTTAAAAAGGAAGAAGAATGAGCAAATGCTCTCCCACAGTCTAAACATTTGTAGTTTTTTTCCCCTGTGTGAATTTTCACATGACTTCTAAGGGCTGATGTGGTACTATAAAATCTTCCACAGTCATTGCATTGCTGTGGCTTTTCCCCTGTGTGGGTTTTATGATGCATCGAAAGGCCTCGCTTGTCTATAAAGCATTTTCCACACTCTACGCATTTGTATGGCTTCTCTCCTGTGTGGAACCTTTGATGGCGTCCAAGGTGTTGTTTTTGGGAAAAGCATTTCCCACACTCCCCACATTTGTAGGGTTTCTCCCCTGTGTGGATTCTCTGATGAATCTGAACATGGGTTGGCGTAATAAAACTTTTCCCACACTCCCTACATTTATGGGGCAGGTCCCCTTTGTGCCACTTCTGGTGTCTCTGAAGTTCATAAGAATATATGAATTGTTTCTCACATTCTGGGCATTCATAGGGTCTCTCTCCAGTATGGAGTTTCTGATGTCGCATCAGAATGCATTTCCTGGAAAAACATTTCCCACATTCGAGGCACTTTTCGTTTTTCTCCCCTTTGTGTATTTTCTCATGTTTCCGAAGACCTGAACTCTGGGTGAAACATTTTCCGCATTCAAAGCATTTGTAAGATTTTATTCCAGCATGGATCTTCTCATGGATCCAAAGACTTGAATTCTGAGAAAAGCTCTTCCCACATTCCCAACACTTGTAAGGTTTCTCCCCTGTGTGGATTCTCTCGTGGTTTCTGAGAGTGCATTTTTTACGGAAAAAAATCCCACATTCCAGACATTGATAAGGTTTCTCTCCAGTGTGGATTTTCTGATGTGTAACAAGGCTTGACTTTTGACCAAAGCATAAGTCACATTCCTCACATTTATAGGGGTTTAGTCTAGGGGAGCTTCTGAGATCTTTGGTTTCTTTTCCAGAAGATTTCTCACCCTCCAAACCTTCACTGGATCCACTTCCCACATGGAGCTTCCTGTGGGTCAAAAGGAGGGACTTGCGAGCAAAGGATTTCCCACACTCTGAGCATTCATGGGTTCTTTTGGGGGTTCTTGGAGGGCTGCTTGTGTCTGATGGGGGATCCAAGAATTTCCCACGCTTCATGCTTTCTCTTGGCTGCTGCTTTGGGCTGAATTTCTACTATCTCTTGTTAGTTGTCTTGAAGGTAAATCTTTGGTCACAGTTACTTTCCGGCTGGTGGAACAAAAAAGAAGAATGAGAACATTATTTCCTTTCGAGAAACACAGAAAATCACAAAATTGTTGAAGGCAAGATGCTGACATTTGTTAACAACCACAACAGTGAGGGCAGAATTGCAGTTCTTCAGCAAAGCAGTCATGTGATGTCTCACGTGATGTCTTCTTTGCTCAACAAGTGAGACTGCAGTCCAAATTCAGTCATAAGTCGAGGACTGCCTATAGGGAACACAAAAGTCAAGGCAAAAACTTTCACTGCATTGCCGTTTTGTCAAATAAAGACAAAACAGAAATGAAGGCGAACATACAGTACGTGTCCCAGAATGAAGTTGCAGGATCCATTCTGGGTCGGTTAACAGGATCAGAGATTTTGTCTTCTGAGGTTTCAGACTTTCAGATGTGCTGGAGCCCTTCCTCAGGGACCCTCTCTCCAGCAGCGTGTGTGCTATTCTATGTGTGGTCCACAGACACAACCACACCACAAACAGAAGAGCACACACTCTGCTGGAGAGAAGTTCCCTGAAGATGGGCTCCAGCATGAGATCTAAAGCTCGGAAGACAAAACCTCTGATCCTCGTAACCGACCCAAATTGCATCCATTAATAACTAACGCTTATGTTCCAAAGCAATATTTAACCATGATTTTGAAGGGCCAAAATGGAAGAAACCAGCAGGATGAAGTCCAAAAGGGACCAAGGCATAGTTGTGAATAGGAAAACGCAAAGGAAGGTGAGAGAGATCAGATGGTGAAAAGGGCTGATCTCCTCCCATTTCCCCACCCCACAACCAAAGAGGTTCAGGCAAGGTGTCCAAGCAGAGTTTGGTGTGAAGTGGGATGCCAGCTGACCTTGAAGCAGCGTCACTTTCATCCCCCATCCCCCACCCCACGGATTCTGCCTCCCCCTGGTTCTTGGGAGTCCCTCAGGAAAGAGTAGGGAAGCAGAGGAAAGCATCAGGTGGCAACCAGCCTCAAAACTTCCTTAAAACTTTTGCTTTATAAAACATCCACCATGAAGGATCACATCACAGCTCCTTCAGGGCAAAACAGGGAAAATACTGATTTTTCCTGATTCTACCAAGCCTTTAGGATCAGTAGATTAAACTTTGGCATAAGAACAAAAGATTTCACTGTTCCCCTTTTAAACTGAGCTCAAGGAAAAAGGATCTATTGTGGGTTATTTATTTATTTATTTATTTAATCAAATTTAAATGCCGCCCTTCTTCCGAAGGACTCGGGGCGGCTCGTAAAAATAAAAAGCATTGCACAATAAAATAATAAATTAATTTTAGTTAATTAAAATACTCCAATTAAAACCCTTAGAAAAACTAAAAACTAACAAACTCCCAGCAGATCAGGCGATTTGTTTAAAGAGCCACGTCTTCAGGTCCCTACGGAAGGAGCGGAGATCGGGGGCCGTGCGGAGCCCGGTGGGTAAACCATTCCAGAGGGTCGGCGCGCCCACATAGAACGCCCTCATCCTGGGTGCCATCAGCCGACATTGCCTGGCCGACGGCACCTCGAGGAGGGCAGCCCTATGCGAGCGCACTGGTCGGTGGGAGACCGGTAGCAGGTGCTCCTGCAAGTAGCCCGTTAAGAAACGTGAACGTGAAGGGTTAAGAAAACATGAACTCAATTCAATTAATTTAAAGCTTTTTTTTCTCCCAACCTCTCCCCTCCCCATTGCAATGAGGTCGGTCTGTGTTTAGAGCATATTACAAACCTCAACAAATGCTTTAAAGCTCCGTTTACTCCATTTTCCCATCTGCACATGCGGGATATGGATGCTCAGAGACTTTGATCTCTTACGGACCAAAGAGAGACCTTCTGAAGCAACTTACCCAAAGCTCCTTCCTGGAACCACCTGGAGGGCCCCCCCCCCCCCCAGAACTTTGGACGGGTGAGGAGAGGGCAGATCCAGCCCAGGGATGGAGCCCCCCTGGAGGGACGGGAAGCAACGCCAGAGCCAGATTTCCCCAAGGAAAGCCTGCGAGCCAAAGAGTGGGATCCACAGTTCCCTTCCTCCTGGCGGGGAGAAGATCTCCTGGGAGGAGGGGCAGCCTGGAGGCCGGAGAGAGAGCAGCCTCACCTTCCCCGAGAGGGATCCAAAAGCCTCTCCCGAGGGATCCAGTGCCAATCCTCCAAGAAAGAAGCGGGATTCACGGAGGGAAACGGAAATCCTGATAGGAGGGGAGGGGCTCATATATACCATTGGATTCCGCCCCTCCATACAGCCCCACCCCTTTCCCGCCTCCTCCTCTTTGCCATCCACCCCTCCCCTCTATTCTCCCCTACCAGGGTGGACCACGTGCTCTGAAACCACCTCTGTTCCTCTGATGGGCTTCGGTGTAGAGGGTTCCTCTGCCCATGGGAAGAGTGTCCCTCTCTGCATGCTTGAAGCAGGATTTCTTAATCTCCAGAGACGCCAAGACAGGAAAGAGGAATGTTTGGGAGGAGGAACCCAGATCTCATTCTTCTTCCCATAGAGGCAATACAACTACGTCACAAAGGACATTTCTATGGGATCAAGAGAGAAAAGGCCACTTCCCAAGTAAAACAGCTAGGAAAACATTCTGCCGCATTCAGCTGGGGAGGAGATGCCATTTCATGGAGGACGGAGGAGGAGGAGAGAATGAATCAGGGTTAAAGGCAGCCCCAGGAAGGCTCCGCACCCCTTTGCACCCTGATTCAGCACCAAATGACTGCAAGGAATATCAATCCTTCCATCCTCCACTGCTCAGTCAGAACTGAAGAAGCTCCTGGGATGAGAAGGGAAACGTTTTCAAGGGAAAAAACCAAGAAACTCCAGTTTCCTTTTGGAAAAACATCTTGGGGACAACCATGAGCTGGAGGATGGAGGCTCTTCATAGAGACCCCTGTCTCCACTTTCTCCTTTCGAAATCTCAGCAGACACAGCCTGGACTCAAGGGCCTTAAAAGACCTTAAAGGGGCATGTAGTCCATCCCTCCAAGCACAAAGAGAAAGGGAGATTTCAGTTGAGAATCATGGAAGGACACAAAAGGAAATCCACACTGCCCTCCGGTCCTGGCATGAAACAGCCCCCTGAAGCTGCAACCTCCACCCTCAAGACTGAAAATCTTCCCCTCTTTCACCCTCTCTGCTTCTACTGGAGGGGGGGCCTGAGTTGCTCTTCCCAACTCTCCCTTTACGACACCACGTTCCTTACCTGGGACTTTGCTTAAGGACACGTGAAATCGTTTTATCAACCACAATCAGGAGTACAGCATTGCACTCATTGAGCCAAACTCTCACGTGACATCTTACTTAAGGACCACTTTGCTCAACGACCAAGACTCCAATTGTGGTTATAAGTCCAGGACAAACTACAAGAATTACCAAAAACGAAGTGACCTTCTATCGCTGCACCATAGAGAGAATTTTAACTTACTGCACCTGTGTATGGTTTGCCAATTGCACAGTAGCAGGTAGGACAGCGCTCCAGAGGGTTAACGTCATTGCCCAGAGGATTATTGGTTGCCCTCTCTCCTCTTTGGAAGAGCTTTATAGCTCCCGCTGCCTTAAGAAAGGTCAAAACATTCTCAAAGATCCATCTCATCCTGGGCACCCCTTTTTTTTTGAACTATTACCATCTGGCAGACAATACAGGATAATAAAAACAAGGACAAATAGGCTGAAAAACAGCTTCTATTTATTTTTTTATTTTTATTTATTTTATATCAAATTTATATACCACCCTTCTCCCTGAGGACTCAGGGTGGTGTACAGCCAAAGTAAAAACATCAACTACAAACATTAAAATACAATTAAAAAGATATATATATATATTTGGCCCCATAACTAAAAGCAATGACAAAACAATTAAAAACATTTAAAAAAAAGTGTTAGGCCAGCCCGGCTTGCTGAAAAAAGAAAGTTTTAAGGGCACGGCGGAAGGCACCGAGGTTCTATCCCAGAGCAGTAACTAGATTGAATTCTACTATATAGTGCAATATTAATGCAATATCAGGGGTTTTCAATTCAATTGCATAGAATGCAAAGGATCTGTCTTTTTGTTTTATTTTTTTATAGTTACAATGTAGACTGAAGATGGCATTTAAATTCGTTGTATGAGGTGCAATGACAATAAAATAAAGTAAACTAAATTTTAAATTCGTTGAATGCGGTTGGTCAGCCAGTTGTGAATCCATCAGGTGGTGATGCTATCTCAGTTTTTTTTTTAAATCTTGCCAAGATCTAGGTTGCGGCCTACTTTGTCACATGCCTCACTGAGGTCCATGTATGCTCATTATGCCTTCACCCAGTACCTTGGGAGCAAATCTTTTTTCTGCATTGTTCAATTATCGAAGATTTAAAAAATGGATGCTTGTTCTCCAAAGCAAGATTTAACCAAGATTTGTTTACTCACGTTTAACGTTACAATGAAGAGGTCTCTCGGTCAAGGCCAGGTATGATCCTCACTGCTGACTGGTTTGGTTTCTCCTTAACCGATTGGCCCTTTGTGCAGGAAGCTGCTTTTTCATCCAGGCCACAATTTTCAAATTCTCTGGAACAAGAATCCTGGCCAAAGGTTGGTGGATCCCAATCCAAGAACGTCTCTTTCTCCTCTGTGAAGTTCACAGCCACGTCCTCACTGGTCTCCTGCAAAGAGAAATGAAAAAGGCTCAGATGCCCAAAGTGATACTGAACATAATTTATAAATGATCTGGAAGAGGGAGGAGAAAATAGGATTATTTGATGAAAATACAAAATAATGATTGAATCTTAATAAGGCAAAATGGAAGAAACCAGCAGCTGAAGTCCAACAGGGACCAAAGCATAGTTGTGCCTAGGAAAACCCAGTGGAAGATGGGAGAGAGCAGATGGGGCAGAGCATGTGTGAAAAGGGCTGCTCTTTCCAGCTCTTTTTGGAGGCTGCAAAGCCACAAAGATTCCAGTTAGGTGTCTCAAAATTTAATTTAAGATCTCCGACCTCCGGGCGTTTCGCTGCGCACTGAAGACCCTATTATTCCGCCAGGCCGGACTAACAACACAATAGTTTTTAAATTGGGATATTTAAATTTATTGGGGTTTTAAATCTGAGCCACTTTATTTAATTATTTTAAATTTTATATTGTTGTTTTGTTTGTGTTTTTAAACAGGCTGTACACCGCCCTGAGTCCTTCGGGAGAAGGGCGGTATAGAAATAAAATTATTATTATTATTATTATTATTATTATTATTATTATTATTATTATTATTATTATTATTATTATTATTATTTCCAGTTAGGAAAGGCAGCAATCTGGCCATCAGCTTCTTCTAGCAGCTCCTCACAAGACCACCCTCAAAACTTCCTTTGTCCTTTGAAAAACATCCACCAAGAAGGAGCTGCCCCATCACAGCCTCTTCTGGGCAAAACACGGAAAACACAAAGTTGAGAAATTCTACCCATTGTTTTGAAAGCAGAAGCAAAGTAAAAGATTAGCATAAAAACAAAAGGATTTTATTTTTGGCCTTTCAGACAGAGCTCAAGAAGAAAGAAAGAGGATCTCTTTTGTGGGTTAAGAAAACAACTAATTTAATCTTCTTTCAACTAATTTAAACTTCTTTCCTCCCACCCACCCCCAGAAACCTCCCGTTGCAAAGACGTCAGAGGGTCTTAATAACACAATACAAATCTCAGTAAAAGTTTTAAAGCACAATTTACACTTTTTTTTTTCTCAAATGCACTCGCGGGATGCGCATGCTCAGAAAACTCGTGATCTGCCGGACCACTTCTAAAAGTGGAACTTACCAAAAGGCTCCTTCCTGGATCCACCCGGAGCCCCTCGGGGAGCCTTGACTGGGCGAGGAGGGGGCAGATCCAGGCCCGGGGACGGAGCCCCCCTTTGCCCCACTGGAGGGAAGGGAGGGATCCGCTCCCTGCAGGCAACGCCAGAGGCCGGATCTCCCCGAGGAAAACCCTGCGAGATCTCCCCGAGGAAAACCCGGCGAGGCGAAGAGAGGGATCCGCAGCTCCCTTCCTCCTGGCGGGGAGGAGATCTGGAGGCCGGAAGGAGAGCAGCCCCACCTGAACCGAGCAGCACCCAGGAGCCTCTCCCGAGGGATCCACCGCCGATCCTCGAAGGGAAGCGGAGATCCAGCCAGTGGGAGGGGAGAGGCGGGGGGGGAGCGGAGCTTCTGGCTTCATCTGGGGCTCCGCCTACTGCTTGAAGCCCCGCCCCTCCATCGCCTCTTCCTCTTCCCCACCCCCTTTAAACTAGGACCACGTGCTGCGAAACCCTTTTGTGTGTTTTTGTGATTGTGTGTTTGTTTGTGTATATCAAACGCCCAGCAGTTGCTGTGGCATAGAGGTGGAGCTCTTGCCTCACAATCAGGAGGTTGTGAGTTTGATCCTAGGCAGATGTTGGGTCTCCTGGGGGTTGGACTAGATGACCAAAAAGGTCCCTTCCAACTCTGTTAATCTGTTATATCTTTATCTGTCTCTGCGCGCTCTAGAAGCTTAAGCTCTGCAGATGCCCTGAAAGAGTTGCCCCAAAAGGCACCGTAAGAGTTGAAGGTTGGTTGGTGCCCTGATGATGTTACCTATTTGGGTAATGAGACGTCTCCAGGGAAACACCAAGGACCCCCCCATTTCCACCCTGAGCTATTCTCCCTGATTGGTTTTAAGGCTTCTGGCGTTTCTGGGCTGGAGAAGAGGGGGGCGAGGGGCATCCTGAGCCAGAGGAAGAGCAGCTCTGAAAGGAACTCAGATTCTCCTTGAGTTAGTAGGGGCAGCTCTTCCCTTGTGCTACAGTGGGATCCACTTCTGGGGAACCAGGTGTCCAGATCAAGGTGCTCACAGAGGACGGGGAGATGCCAGAAGCCCCCTTGAAGTAGCCAATAGGAATGGTGCAGATCTCAGCTTCTGAGCACATCAGCAACTATGTCACAAAGGACATTTTTGTGGGATCAAGAGAGAAAAGACCATTTCCAAAATAAAACAGCTAGGGAAACATTATCCTGTATAGGGCAGGGGAGGAGATGCCATTTCATGGAGGACGGAGGAGAAGGAGAGAATGAACCACGGTTAAAGGCAAGTGATGAGTTAAAGTGGGTCTCATTTAGTGAAGCCAATGAATCCCATTGCATTAAATTTAAACTATTTGAAGTGATGTCTCTCTGGAAAATTCAGAAAGTGCTTCCAGATTGACAGAAATAAGCAAGAAGAATATTTAATGTAACATGGTATATGAATATCGATGAAATATCACAGTAAGAGAATAACAAGAATATCCATAAAGGAATTTAAATAGTCTAAATTAAGAGGTTTACAGAGTTGGAAGGGACCTTGCAGGTCATCTAGTCCAACCCCCTGCGCAAGCAGGAGACCCAACATCTGCCTAGGATCAAACTCACAACCTTCTGATTGTGAGGCAAGAGCTCCACCTCTATGCCACAGCAGCTGCTGTGTGTTTGATACACGCAAACTAACACACAATCAGGAGGTGCTACACCATTTCTGACAGGTCAAATTAAAAAGATGACAAACTTTTTTAAAAAAAGATTTCAGGATAAAACCTTTTTCAATGCTACAAAGATTTTTAGGGGCCCTCTCTGAGGGGACTCACAAATGCAGGACAACAATTGTCTCATTTCAAAGCAACAGATTTTCCACACACCAAGCTCTGATGTGGTTTGTCACCCGGAAAGAGTCTCCAGCCATCCGAGCACCTGGAGGATTTCTGGAGGACATTTTTACCTGCAGACCCAGGTAGACAGTCCAGAAAAATATTTCACACACCCCAAACGCACAATTTCTTTTTCTTGTGCATCCTTTGGGGTCTCCAGAGGTCTCAGTGAAGTCAGTATTTTGCAATGTTCCAAGTATTTATACAATGACCACCCCTTTTTGCAAATGCTCCAGGGTTTCTCAATATTTCATTACAGGTATTCCTCAACTTACGGCAAGCATTGATGGCCCATAAAACAATTCTGGCCATTGTGAAATGTTGTCCTCCCGTCCACTCTCCATGTTATGTGACCAGATTATGAGCACTTGGCAGCCGGCTGGCTTTTGCGACCAGATTTTCTTTATACTTAGGACTCCTTATTGCTTACTGACCACAAAAAAATGTCACAAAATGTGATTCGGTCATGTGGGTGCTAGAACGTACAACTGTATAAACCTGTTACCAGGAATCCATTTCTAACTGTGATTGTAAGTCGAGGAGTAGCTATGCTCTTCAAAGAATGATCTCCACTCTCCAACACTTCTAACTTTTTTTTTTCTTTTTCACTCTGCTAAGTTACTAGTGCTGCTGGTTGCAGAATCAAACCTTACACTCCCAACATTTATCAAGGGTGAAATGCTCCCGGTTCGGACCGGATCGCCCAATCCGGTAGCGATAGAGGTGGGAGGTTCGGAGAACCGGTAGCAAAAATTCCTGCACCCTCCCCCCCATGCCCAGCTGAGCCGCACAATCATCAGAGGCTTTTTCTTTTAATTTTTAAAAGCATTTTTTCTACAACCTCTTCCGCCGAAACAATGCTTTTAAAAGTTAAAAAAAAAAAGCCTCTGATGATCGTGTGGCTCAGCTGCGATCCTCAAAGGGTTCGTCAGCTGATGATCCCAGCTGAGTTGCCTGATCGGCAGAGGCTTTTTTTCTTTAAAAGCCTCTGACGATCCCAGCTGAGTTGCCTGATCGGCAGAGGCTTTTTTTCTTTTAAATGCCTCTGACCATCCAAGCTGAGTTGCCTGATCGGCAGAGGCTTTTAAAAGAAAAAAAGCCTCTGCTGATCAGGCAACTCAGCTGGGATCGTCAGAGCCTTTTGAAAGCATTTTTTTTACAACCTCTTTGCCGAAGAGGTTGTAGAAAAAATGATTTTAAAAGAAAAAAATTGGCCACGCCCACCCAGTCACCTTACCCCCCCCCCACACACACACACACCAAGCCACAGCCACAGAACCGGTAGTAACAAATTTTAGATTTCACCACTGACATTTATGCACTATTACATGATTCTGGATTCTCAGATTATATTAGACTAAGAAAAACATTTTCCCCACACCAAACAATTGTAGGATTTCCCTTCTGTCACGGTGTGAAGTTCCTGGTGAACATGAAGATGCGACTTTTGAAAAAAAATGTTTCCCGCATTGTTCACGACTGAAAAGATTTATCTCTGCTATGGACTTTCTGGTGCTTTTTAAGCTTTGATTATAACGAAAAGGTTTCTCCCACTCGGCACACTTGCAAAGGCACTTTCCTGTGAGATTTCAGGTGTGCCTGCAAAGTGCTGAAGGGTGGGTGGAAGATTCCTCACAATCTGAACATTTATATGGTTTTTCTCCACTGTGGATTTGCTGATGTATCGCAAGAGTACTTTTTTCAGAAAAACGTTTATGGCACTGAGGCAAAGAACGAGTTCAGCAGCTCTGCTTTCTCTCTGCTGCCTGTTTACTTCTTTGCCATCGTCTCTCTTTAGTCAACCGACTGTTACCTTCATTTTGGGCACTCCCAATTCCGAAGTTCAAGGAGAACACTCCTTCCCTCGAATTCAGACCCACCGATGAGGCCTGAGGCTGGGAGCATCCCTGCCTTTCTCCTCTCTCTCTCTCTCTTTTTTTTATTGAAAAGTTTTACAAAGAAATTCCCCCCCCCCTTCCCCACCCCCCCCCCCCTCCCCGACTTCCCAGAGCAAAATACAGGGTATTTCAATTAACAATCATAAGCTAAGTTAGCCTAACTATTCTTAAACTACCTATTCCCCCCCCCCCCTGAAACCTTAACTCCACTATAGATAACATGATACTTCTAAAGTAAAGTTTAACATTCATTCATAAGCTATTTGATATTTTCTTGTCTGAATCGAAACTCATAAATGTTCCTCTCCACAGAAATCTTTAGTAAAAGGAGGAAGATTTATACGATCTGAAGAGAAACCAGAGTATTCTTTCTCCTCTCTCTTTGAGGGCGCTTGTGGGGCAGCATCCATAGGATCCGCTGGGATCCGCTGGGATCCCCCTGATGCTACTGGTGGAGGCACTGGGCCGGATCTCTGGAAGTAAAGGGGGGGCAGGAGACCCCCTTTAAGGAGGGGGCTCCTCTGGGGCAGGAGTGGAGCTGGGAGGGGCCCTCAGTGCCCCTGGGGGAAGGAGGAGGGAGAAAGGGTCTGGTATGTCACTACTGGAAAATGGTGTGGAGGGCAAGAGAGGCAGGAGCCTGCAGGAGCTTCAATCTCCATGTGGTCTCCTCCCCTTCTCTGGCCCTATTTCCCCCTCACCGGAAGAAGAGGGAGGCCCCCTCCACTTCCCTAGTGGCTGATGTGGGGCCGGGGTCACGGAAAGGCAGCTGATGTGGGATAAAATGCAGCCCCCCCCCTCCGGTAGCTGGGTGGGAGTGGGACCTTAGGGATATGGAATTAGAACCAGAGTCCCAAAGTTTCTTGCATGGAAAGAGGACGGAGACAGAAAGTCCTGGTGGCTCAGCAGACTGATAGCACTGTGATTAACACCAGCTGTCTGCAATTAAAGTAAGTTCGAATCTCGCCAGGCTCAAGGTTGACTCAGCCTTCCATCCTTTCTAAGGTAGGTAAATTGAGGACCCAGTTTGTGGGGGCAATAAGCTGACTTTGTATAAATATACAAAAGTATGAAGGCTATTGCTTAACGCATTGTAAGCCGCCCTGAGTCTCCGGAGAAGGGCGGCATATAAATCAACTTAAAAAAAAAAAGTGAAAGAGGGAAACTGAGGCATTTTCTGACCTGAATCCACAAATGCCACCAAAAGTATAAGAAAAAGATGCTTTTTTTGGCAAAAAGTGTTTTTCCAACTTCATTTTCGTTTGAATCTCCATTTTTTAAGGTGCGGGAAGAGCTGAGCTTCGATTCCCTTCTTGGGGGAGACTCTGAATTTGGGGAAGAGACCTAGAACCTCCCCCCACACCCCATAATCCCCCATTGCTGAATCAGAACCTGGATAGGAAGTGGGAAGTGAGGGAGAAGGATATTGGGGGAGGGGGTTTGCACTCCTAAATGGACCAGCCAATATTGGGGGCTTCCTTCCCGTAGACTGAGTCGGAAGGAGCCCCAGAACTCTGGCTTCACTTCCAAGAGGTGCATTTTTTCCCCCAAAAGAAAGAAAAATATTTTTTTTTCTGTTAAAACATTTCACTTCTCATCTAAGGAGCTTCTTCAGTTCTGACTGACTGGGAGGGGGAGAAAGGAAGGATTTGTATTGTGTCACATAGGACAAACCCATCAGGAGATGATGTCCATCTGCATCTAAAATGACATGGGTGGCTCGTTCGAGGACATCAAGTCCACATCCTGGACAGAGAGGAGCCCTGGATGGAAAGAGGGGCCAAAGCGGCCATCTTTGCCAAAATCAGCAGCCTTCCCACAACAGAGGTGGGTAGAAAGAACCCCCCTCCTCCTGTCTACAACAGGGTCCTTTCAGCAGCCCCAGGAAGACTCCCCACCACTTTGCACCCTGATTCCGCACCAAATGACTGCAAGGAATATCAATCCTTCCATTCTCCACTGCTCAGTCAGAACTGAAGAAGCTCCTGGAACAAGAAGGGAAATGTTTTCAAGGGGGAAGAAACAAGAAAGTTCAGTTTCCTTTTGGAAAAACATCTTAGGGACAACCATGACCTAGAGGATGGAGACTCTCCATAGAGACCCCTGGCTCCACTTTCTTGTTTTGAAATCTCCCCCCCTTCTCTCATATTATCTGCCGCTTTGGGGGGCAGAGAGACCCCACTGGGATCCAAGGTTCCCTCCAGAGCGTTAGGCAGACTGCTGGACCAGTTGTGTATCTTCCTGTCTTTTTCCACCCTGGGAAGATGGAGGAGGCCAATCAAGAAGCGCCTCCCCTTCCCCTCATTTTCCTCGCCCCTCCAGGCCCCCTACCAAGGGTGGATCCTGCTGGGACTGACAGTTCCCCAACTCTCCTCTAGGGGGGCCCCTTCCGGTAGCCTTATGGGACAGGTTTCCCGCCCCTCCTCGGAGAAGCGTGGCTCCCTCCTCTAGTAGCTGCTGGGAACCATGGGCCCTGCACTCCCTGACAGCCTTCCTCCTCCTCCTCCCCGCAGCCCATTTCCTGATCCAGGGGAGATCCGACAGCCCCTCCCTCAACCCACTTTGGCTGCACAGTATGGCACAATCTGACTGCCATCTTGTCTGTTTTGAGCCACCCAGTCCATCTCCTGTAAAAGGCCCTCTTGATTATTTTGAGCAATATACTTTTATTCAGGATTATATGCACAGAAAGAAAATTAATACAAATATCTCTGTGGGAATATATGAAAAAGACAATGAAAAAAAAGGGGGGGAATCCCTTTTTCCCTCTTCATCCTCAACCAGCAGATTCAACAACAAAACTTTATCACTAAATACACAGCCAGATTCATTCCACCCTTTATCCCTATTTTTTCCTCTCTAAATTTTCCACTTCTCATTGATCAACATAATCTAATAAAAATTAAGAAAAATACCTGGTTCCCTGACTTACAACTGAAGGAACTTATGACCAGAATTCCCTTCCAGGTTGTGGTCATAAGTCAAGGAGTTCCTGTACACTGAAAAACATTTATCTACTCCCCATATACTGTATTTATAACTCTTGTGTGTAATCCAGTAAATTACTAATGCGGCTTTGCGAGCAAAATATTCTCACACTCCCAACATTTTGCCTCATTGTGTACTCTCTGATGGGATTTGAGGTTACTTTGCTTCCGTAGGAGAAACATTTCTCCCACACCAAATAATTGTAGGATTTCCCTTCTGTCACTGTAAACATTGTGTTGAAAAAATGTGTTCCCGATATTGTTCACAGCTGAAAAGATTTATCTCTGCTATGGACTTTTTGGTCCCTTTTTATCTTTGATTTACTAGGAAAAGGTTTCTCGCGCTCTGTGCATTTGTAAGGCTATTTTCCTGTGTGAGTTCGGGTGTGCGTGCGAAGTCCTGAAAGTTGGGCAAAACATTTCCCACACTCCAGACATTTATAAGGTTTCTCTCCAGTGTGGATTCGCTGATGTATCACAAGAGTATCTTTCCGTGAAAAACACTTATCGCACTCTAAGCATTTGTGGGGCTTCTCTCCTGTATGGATTCGGCTGTGACTTCTAAGGGAAGATGAATGAGCAAATGATCTCCCACAGTCTAAACATTTGTAGTTTTTTTCCCCCGTGTGAATTTTCACATGATTTCTAAGGGCTGATGAGGTACGAAAAAATCTTCCACAGTCGTTGCATTGCTGTGGCTTCTCCCCTGTGTGGGTTTTATGATGCATCGAAAGGCTTGCCCTGTGTCTAAAATATTTTCCACATTCTATGCATCTGTATGGCTTCTCTCCTGTATGGACCCTTTGATGCCTTCGAAGTTGGCTTTTTTGGGAAAAGCATTTCCCACACTCCCCACATTTGTAAGGTTTCTCCCCTGTGTGGATTCTCTGATGTATCTGAACATGGGCTGGCGAAATAAAACTTTTCCCACACTCCCTGCATTTATAGGGTAGGTCCCCTTTGTGCCATTCCTGGTGTCTCTGAAGTGCATAAGAATACATGAATTGTTTCTCACATTCTGGGCATTCATAGGGTCTCCCTCCAGTGTGACGTCTCTGATGTCGCACCAGATTTGATTTCAAGATAAAACATTTCCCACATTCGAGGCACTTTTCGTTTTTCTCCCCTCTGTGTGTTTTCTTATGACTCCAAAGACCTGAATTCTGGGTGAAACATTTTCCACACTCAAAGCATTTGTAAGATTTTATTCCAACATGGATCTTCTCATGGAACCAAAGACTTGAGTTGTGAGAAAAGCTCTTCCCACATTCCCAACACTTGTAAGGTTTCTCCCCTGTATGAATTCTCTCGTGGTTTCTGAGAGTGGTTTTTTCATGGAAAAATTTCCCACATTCCAGACATTGATAAGGTTTCTCTCCAGTGTGGATTTTCTGATGTCTCCGAAGTCCTCCTGTATAAGCAAAAGATTTCCCACATTCTATGCATGTGTATGGCTTCACTCCTGTATGGACCCTCTGATGGATTCCAAGTTTTTTTTTTTGGGAAAAGCATTTCCCGCATTCCACACATTTGAATGGCTTCTCCCCTGTGTGGATTCTCTCGTGGTTTCTGAGAGTGCTTTTTTCACGGAAAAATTTCCCACATTCCAGACATTGATAAGGTTTCTCTCCAGTGTGGATTTTCTGATGTGTAAGAAGTCCTGACTTTTGACCAAAGCGTAAGTCACATTCCTCACATTTATAGGGTTTTAGTCGAGGGGAGCTTCTGAGATCTTTGGAGTTTTTCCCAGAGAAAGATTTCTCACCCTCCAAACCTTCACTGGATCCACTTCCCACATGGAGCTTCCTGTGGGTCAAAAGGAGGGACTTGCGAGCAAAGGATTTCCCACACTCTGAGCATTCATGGGTTCTTTTGGGGGTTCTTGGAGGGCTGCTTGTGTCTGATGGGGGATCCAAGAGTTTCCCACGCTTCATGCTTTCCTTTGGCTACTGCCTTGGGCTGAATTTCTACTATCTTTTGTTAGTTGTCTTGAAAGTAAATCTTTGGTCACAGTTATTTTCCAGCTGGTGGAACAAAAAAGACGAATGAGAACATTATTTCCTTTCGAGAAACACAGAAAATCACAAAATTGTTGAAGGCAAGATGCTGACATTTGTTAACAACCACAACAGTGAGGGCAGAATTGCAGTTCTTCAGCAAAGCAGTCATGTGATGTCTCACGTGATGTCTTCTTTGCTCAACAAGTGAGACTGCAGTCCAAATTCAGTCATAAATTGAGGACTGCCTATAGGGAACACAAAAGTCAAGGCAAAAACTTTCACTGCATTGCCGTTTTGTCAAATAAAGACAAAACAGAAATGAAGGCGAATATACGTATCCCAGAATGAAGTTGTAGGATCTATTCTGGGTCAGTTAACAGGATCAGAGATTTTGTGTTCTGAGCTTTAGGCCTCGTGCTGAAGCCCTTCCTCAGGTAACTTATCTCCAGCAGAGTGTGTGCTACTCTATGTGTGATCCACAGACACAACCACACACACACAGAACAGGACACCCTCTGCTGGAGAGAAGTTCCCTGAAAAAGGGCTCCAGCATGAGATCTAAAGCTCGGAAGACAAAACCTCTGATCCTCGTAACCGACCCAAATTGCATCCATTAATAACTAACGCTTATGTTCCAAACTTAATATTTAACCACAATTTTGATGGGCCAAAAGGGAAGAAACCAGCAGGATGAAGTCCAAAAGGGACCAAGGCATAGTTGTGAATAGGAAAACACAAAGGAAGGTGAGAGAGATCAGATGGTGAAAAGGGCTGATCTCCTCCCATTTCCCCACCCCACAACCAAAGAGGTTCAGGCAAGGTGTCCAAGCAGAGTTTGGTGTGAAGTGGGATGCCTGCTGACCTTGAAGCAGCATCGCTTTCATCCCCCACCCCCCACCCCACGGATTCTGCCTCCCCTTGGTTAATGGCAGTCCCTCAGGAAAGAGTAGGGAAGCAGAGGAAAGCATCAGGTGGCAACCAGCCTCCAAACTTCCTTAAAACTTTTGCTTTGTAAAACATCCACCATGAAGGGCCACATCACAGCCCCTTCAGGGCAAAACAAAGAAAATACTAGTTTTTCCTGATTCTACCAAGCCTTTAGGATCAGAAGCAGATCAAACATTGGCATAAGAACAAAGGATTTTATTGTTCCCCTTTTAAATTCAGCTCGAAGAAAAAGGATCTCTTGTGGGTTAAGGCAACATGAATTCAATTCAATTAATTTAAAGCTTTTCTTTCCCCCAAACTCTCCCCTCCCCATTGCAATGAGGTCGGCCTGCATTAAGAGCACATTACAAACCTCAACAAACGCTTTAAAGCTCCGTTTACTCCCTTTTTTCCAACTGCACGTGCGGGATATGGATGCTCAGAGACCTCGTGGTCTGACGGACCACAAAGAGACCTTCTGAAGCAACTTACCCAGAGCTCCTTCCCGGATCCACTCGGAGCCCCCCGCGGAGCCTTGGCTGGACGAGGAAGGGGCAGAATCGCAGATCCACCCCAGGGACGGAGCTCCCTTTGCCCGCCTGGAGGGAAGGCAGGCAACGGCAGAGCGGGATCTCCCCGAGGAAACCCCAGAAGAGTGGGATCCGCAGGATCCTCCCTTCCTCCTGGCGGGGAGAGGATCTGCTGGCTGGACGGGGAGCATGGAGGCCGGAGGGAGAGCAGCCTCACCTTCCCCGAGAGGGATCCAGAAGCCTCTCCCGAGGGATCCAGCGCCGATCCTCCAAGGAAGAAGCGAGATTCAGGGATGAAAACGGAAATCCAGATGGGGCACAGGAGGGGCTTCTATATATATAGAAGCCCCTCTATACAGTCCCGCCCCCTTTTCTTTGCCCTCCCCCTAATCTCCCCCCCTCCCAGCCAGGACCACGTGCTCTGAAACCTCCCCTGTTCCTTCGATGGGCGTTGGTGTAGAGGGTTCCTCTGCCCATGGGAAGAGTGCCCCTCTCTGCAGGCTGGAAGCGGGATTTCCTAATCCCCAGAGACCCCCAAGACAGGAAAGAGGAATGTTTGGGGGAGGAACCCAGATCTTCTTCCCATGGAGGCGACACAATACAAGAGGGAAACAAGCCAGCCAAGCCACTGCAAAATGGAAATGATTTTTTTTATTTTTGTTGATCAATATCCACCTTTATTATTTTTACAATAACATATCCCACACATCTTCCTTTACCTATTTGCCTCACAACAATCCTGCGGGGTGGGCTATGGTGAGAGAGTCACTGAGTCTCCGGAGAAGGGCGGCATATAAATCGAACCAATAAATAAATGAGATGGGGGGACTTCAACTCCCAGAATTCATGCTGGCTGGGGGATTCTGGGAGTGGAAATCCACACAGCTTAAATGTTGTCAAGGTTGAGAAACATGGATATGGACGCATGTAAACATGCATCAGTGTCCGTGTAGAGACACATATGTGTTTTGAGGATGTGTTTATCAAACTCTTCCCCAGGGTAAATGTAAGAATTCAAATCCACAATCAAGACTAGAATTTATTCGAGGTGATTGTCCTCAACTTACAGCATAGATGTTTGCTAGCGGGGGAAATAAGCTAACTTGTTTTTTGGTTTTTTTTAAAGTTTTTTATTATATTTTTATTGTTAAGGAATAAGAAAAAGGAAAAAAAATCAATACAAAAAATCAATAATAAGGAAAGAAAAAAAAATTTTTCCCCCCCAACGTACAAACGGAAAGGAAGTTTTAGGAACTTGAAGTCTTCAATTCTTCCAGAAATCTCTTTGATAAGGTACTGGTGCCGATTCATCCAATCTCCCAAGTGCAAAGTCCACAAATGGTTGCCAAGTGTTCCAAAAAACATTTTCTTTATATATACCACTTCTAATTTTAATATCACAAGTCAATTTATCATTTAATGCAAATTTCCATGTTTCATTGTACCATTCTTCTAATTTTAAGTCAACATTTAATTTCCAATATCTAGCAATTATAATTCTCCCCATTATAACCAAAATCCTCACCAATTCTCTTTCTCCAGTTGTTAATGTTGTTTCATTCAATATTAATAATAATATGGTTTCCAATGTCAATTTGACCCTCTTCTTAATTATTTCAAATATTTCATTTTCTATCCTAGACCAAAAAAGTTCAACCCCATTACATTTACACCACATATGAGCATATGTCCCAAGTTCCACTTTACATCTCCAACACATTTTATCCACTTTATTATCCATTTGAAAAAGTCTTATTGGGGTCAAATACCACTTCCAAATAACTTTATAATTATGTTCCTTAATCCTTATTGATAATGTCCTCATTATTCTGCTAACCCAATTCATATTCCAATTTTGATCAGAAATTTCAATACCCAGTTCTTTTACCCAATTCTCTTTCATTACCCTTTGTGAATTATTATCAGAGTTAATAATTTTATAAATTTTACTAGCTAATCCCTTTGGCCCAATTTCATCTTTTATTATTCGAGATGTCAAATTTTCAAATTCCGTTTCCTTTCTGCTCTCATCGTTCCTTTCTTTGCATTTCCTATTCCATTTATTCATTTGAATTCTTTCAAACCAATTAATGTTTAATTTTCCATAAATTTCCTCTTTCCTCATTTCATTTTCTATAAATTTCAACCATTCACTAATTGTTTCCACTTTCTCTTCTATTATAATCCTCTCTCTGTTACTATTTAATTTCATTGGGCAATTCTCTTTCAGTTTACCTAAATACAATGCGTCTGGTATTAATTTTTTTGCTACTCTGTCCCAATTTTTAGTCAAACTATTTAACCAATAATTGCAAATTTTAACCTTACCTTTAAAATTTTCCAAAAACCATTTGTAACCAAACTTCTTTATTTCCTTCATTTCCAAATTACCCCAAAGTTTAACATCTCCTTTTAAAATTTTTACTACTGTTTTTATATTAAATGCTCTATAATAGTTTAATAATTTTGGAATTCCTAAACCACCTTGTTTTTGGTTCTGATACCACATTTTCTTAATCAGTCTTGGTTTTTTATCCCCATTACAAAATTTATCTAATTTTTTTTGATATACTTCAATGTCCTTCTCGGTTGAAAAAATTGGAAGCATCTCGAATAAAAAGTTAAATTTAGGAAGTAACATCATTTTACATAAAGCTACTCTACCAAACCAAGATAACTTGAGTTTTTTATATTTCCCAATTTTCTCTTCAATTTCTTTTGTTACTATGTCATAATTTAGTTTCTTTAAATAAGCTAACTTGTGAGATGGGTGGCTTCTATATTTAATAATAAATATAAATATAAATAACTACAGACTTTCAACCTTAAGTGAGTCTCTGCACATTATGGATCCAGGTCATGAATACCTTTTATGGGTGGGGCCCATCCTAAACTCCAAAAAGCTGCAGCTGGATGACTTCCATGGCTGTTTGCCCTCCAGCTGTGCCTGATGAGCTCCTGGCTGAAAGGGGGGACCGATCCAAACTCAGCCTCTCCACTTGAACTGAGAAGGGAAGGAAAGACACAGGAAGGGGCCCAAATGTAGGAGCCTGGTGCTGCAGTGGACTAAACTACTGTTAAAGTAGCATTTAGCTGCTAATCACCAATAGGAGTGGAGCAGATCCCAGCTTCTGAGCACATCAGCAACTAGCAACTTCCCAAGTAAAACAGCTAGGAAAACATTCTGCTGCGTTCAGCTGGGGAGGAGATGCCATTTCATGGAGGACGGAGGAGGAGGAGAGAATGAACCAGGTTTAAAGGCAGCCCCAGGAAGGCTCCGCACCCCTTTGCACCCTGATTCAGCACCAAATGACTGCAAGGAATATCAATCCTTCCATCCTCCACCGCTCAGTCAGAACTGAAGAAGCTCCTGGGATGAGAAGGGAAATGTTTTCAAGGGGAAAAAAACGTCCAGTTTCCTTTTGGAAAAACATTTTAGGGACAACCATGACCTGGAGGATGGAGACTCTCCATAGAGACCCCCTGTCTCCACTTTGCCCTTTTGAAATCTCGGCAGACCCAGCCTGGACTCAAGGGGGCCTTAAAAGACCTTAAAGGGCATCTAGTCCACCCCTCCAGGCACAAAGACAAAGGGAGATTCAGATTGAGAATTATTGGGGGAGGGCACAAAAGGAAATCCACACTGCCCTCCGGTCCTGGCAGGAAGCAGGCCCCTGAAGCTGCAACCCCCACCCTCAAGACTGAAAACCTTCCCCTCTTTCACCCTCTCTGCCTCTACTGGAGGGGGGGGCCTGAGTTGCTCTTCCCAACTCTCCCTTCAGTGAAGGGTGCTGGGGCCCCTCCCTTTGAGATGATCTTGGGGGGGGCTACAGGGGGCCTATCTGGAAGGGGGACAGGAAAGAGGCCTTGAAAACCATTCAAAGAAAGCTAGTGGGGATGAAGATTTGGGGGGGGGGAGTTTGGAGTATCTAGGGAAGGTGGGGGTCGAAGGACTGGGAGAGCCCAGGAGTATGGGTGTAGGTATCCTTATTGTGATCCTCTCCCCAGATCCCCCCCAAAGGAAGAGGGATAGAGAAGCATGGTTATTATGTTCCTTGCAGCCCAGAGTTCCTGGGGGGGGTCTCCCCCCCCTTCTCTCATATGATCTGCCGCTTTAGGGGGCAGAGAGACCCCACTGGGATTCAAGGGTCCCTCCAAAGCGTTAGGCGGACTGCTGGACCTGTTGTGTATCTGCCTGCCTTTTTCCACCCTGGGAAGATGGAGGAGGCCCATCAGGAAGGCCCTGCACTTCCACTCATTTTCCTCCCCACTCCAGGCCCCCCACCAAGGGTGGATCCGGCTGGGACTGACAATTCCCCATCTCTCCTCTAGGGGGCCTCTTCCGGTAGCCTCATGGGACAGGTTACCCGCCCTTCCTCTGAGAAGCGTGGCTCCCTCCTCTAGTAGCTGCTGGGAACCATGGGTCCTGCACTCCCTGACAGCCTTCCTCCTCCTCCTCCACACAGCCCATTTCCTGATCCAGGGGAGATCCGAGAGTCACTTCCTCAACCCACTTTGGCTGCACACTATGGCACAATCTGACTGCCATCTTGTCTGTTTTGAGCCACCCAGTCCATCTCCTGAAAAAGGCCCTCCTGATTATTTTGAGCAATATACTTTTATTCAGCATTATATGCACAGAAAGAAAGTTAATACAAATATTTCTGTGTGAATATATGAAAAAGACAATGAAAAAAGGGGAAAAAATCCCTCCAAAAATATAATAGAAAAAAGAAACTTTCCCTCATCATCCTCAGCCAGCAGATTCAACAACAAAACTTTATTACTAAATAAACAGCCAGATTCATTCCACCCTTTATCCCTATTTATTCCTCTCTAAATTTTCACTTCTCATTGATCAACATAATCTAATAAAAATTAAGAAAAATACCTGGTTCCTTGACTTACAACTGAAGGAACTTATGACCAGAATTCCATTCCAGGTTGTGGTCATAAATCAAGGAGTTCCTGTACACTGAAAAACATTTTATCTACTCCCCATATACTGTATTTATAACTCTTGTGTGTAATCCAGTAAATTACTAATGCGGCTTTGCGAGCAAAATATTCTCACACTCCCAACATTTTGCCTCATTGTGTACTCTCTGATGGGATTTGAGGTTGCTTTGCTTCCGTAGGAGAAACATTTCTCCCACACCAAATAATTGTAGGATTTCCCTTCTGTCACTGTAAACATTGTGTTGAAAAAATGTGTTCCCGATATTGTTCACAGCTGAAAAGATTTATCTCTGCTATGGACATTTTGGTCCCTTTTTAGCTTTGATTTACTAGGAAAAGGTTTCTCGCACTCTGTGCATTTGTAAGGCTATTTTCCTGTGTGAGTTCGGGTGTGCGTGCGAAGTCCTGAAGGTTGGGCAAAACATTTCCCACACTCCAGACATTTATAAGGTTTCTCTCCAGTGTGGATTCGCTGATGCATCACAAGAGTATCTTTCCGTGAAAAACTCTTATCACACTCTAAGCATTTATGGGGCTTCTCTCCTGTATGGATTCGGCTGTGACTTCTAAGGGAAGATGAATGAGCAAATGATCTCCCACAGTCTAAACATTTGTAGTTTTTTTCCCCTGTGTGAATTTTCACATGACTTCCAAGGGCTGATGTGGTACTATAAAATCTTCCACAGTCGTTGCATTGCTGTGGCTTCTCCCCTGTGTGGGTTTTATGATGTATCAAAAGACTTGCCCTGTGTCTAAAATATTTTCCACATTCTATGCATCTGTATGGCTTCTCTCCTGTATGGACCCTTTGATGGCTTCGAAGTTGGCTTTTTTGGGAAAAGCATTTCCCACACTCCCCACATTTATAGGGTTTCTCCCCTGTGTGGATTCTCTGATGTATCTGAACATGGGCTGGCGAAATAAAACTTTTCCCACACTTCCCACATTTATAGGGTAGGTCCCCTTTGTGCCATTCCTGGTGTCTCTGAAGTTCATAAGAATACATGAATTGTTTCTCACATTCTGGGCATTCATAGGGTCTCTCTCCAGTGTGAAGTCTCTGATGTCGCACCAGATTTGATTTATTGGAAAAACATTTCCCACATTCGAGGCACTTTTCGTTTTTCTCCCCTCTGTGTGTTTTCTCATGACTCCAAAGACCTGAACTCTGGGTGAAACATTTTCCACACTCAAAGCATTTGTAAGATTTTATTCCAGCATGGATCTTCTCATGTAACCAAAGATTTGAATTCTGAGGAAATCTCTTCCCATATTCCAGACATTGATAAGGTTTCTCTCCAGTGTGGATTTTCTGATGTGTAAGAAGTCCTGACTTTTGACCAAAGCATAAGTCACATTCCTCACATTTATAGGGTTTTAGTCGAGGGGAGCTTCTGAGATCTTTGGAGATCTCAAAACATTGACTGGATCCACTTCCCACATGGAGCTTCCTGTGGGTCAAAAGGAGGGACTTGCGAGCAAAGGATTTCCCACACTCTGAGCATTCATGGGTTCTTTTGGGGGTTCTTGGAGGGCTGCTTGTGTCTGATGGGGGATCCAAGAGATTCCCACGCTTCATGCTTTCCCTCGGCTGCTGCCTTGGGCTGAATTTCTACTATCTCTTGTTAATTGTCTTGAAGGTAAATCTTGGGTCACAGTTGTTTTCCGGCTGGTGGAACAAAAAAGAAAATGAGAACATTATTCCCTTTCGAGAAACACAGAAAATCACAAAATTGTTGAAGGCAAGATGCTGACATTTGTTAACAACCACAACAGTGAGGGCAGAATTGCAGTTCTTCAGCAAAGCAGTCATGTGATGTCTCACGTGATGTCTTCTTTGCTCAACAAGTGAGACTGCAGTCCAGATTTAGTCATAAATCGAGGACTGCCTATAGGGAACACAAGAGTCAAGATGCTGACGTGTGAAGTGCTCAGAGAGCTATGAACCACTATGTATCTGACTTTGAAGCAGCATCGCCTTCATCCCCCATCCCCCACCCCACGGATTCAGCCTCCCCCTGGTTCTTGGGAGTCCCTCAGGAAAGAGTAGGGAAGCAGAGGAAAGCATCAGGTGGCAACCAGCCTCAAAACTTCCTTAAAACTTTGATTTGTAAAACATCCACCATGAAGGATCACATCACAGGCCCTTCAGGGCAAAACAAGGAAAATACTGATCTTTCCTGATTCTACCAAGCCTTTAGGATCAGAAGCAGATTAAACATTGGCATAAGAACATGGAATGTTCTCTAGAAATGTGGCCATCACCAAGGCACCTTATACCATTGCTGGTGGACCTGCCCCCAAGCGAAAAAATTCTGGAAAATGATCTGGAAATGGATTATGGAAATAATAAAAGAAAATATTGATTTTGAACCGAAAATCTTTCTCCTGGGAATCCTGAAAACAGAATACGAAAAAAAGAAGTATCTAATCATACATATAACGATAGTGGCAAGAATAACCTATGCTCAGTATTGGAAGGAGAAAAAACTACCACCCGAAGAACAAGTAATCAGGAAAATATTAGAGTGCGCCGAAATGAATAAGCTAACATTAGAACTTAACGAAAAAGAGAACACGGGATATTATAATGTGTGGGTGCTGTGGTATGAGTGGATAGAGAAAAGAAACAAAAAGTGAAGTTTGAGAAGTATAAAGGTTAATTAATAATGATCATAAAGAGTTAACTATTACCATGTGCATTACTGAACTAAGGTTGCAATCTATGTAAATAACAAGTAAATAACATGTATATATGATCATAAAGAACTGTGCATTACTACTTGTAATAATACCCAAATCATATACAAGCAAAGATGCAATACTATGTAAATAATATGTAAATAATAAGTATTTATATTTAACACCACGGAACCAAAAAACATAAATTGTATTTCTATATTTTCACAATAAAAACTAATAAAATAAATAAATAAATAAACATTGACATAAGAGCAAAAGATTTCAATGTTCCCCTTTTAAATTCAGCTCAAAGAAAAAGGATCTCTTGTGAGTTAAGAGAACATGAACTCAATACAATCAATTTAAAATTTTTCTTTCCCCCAAACTCTCCCCTCCCCATTGCAATGAGGTCGGCCTGGTTAAGAGCACGTTACAAACCTCAACAAATGCTTTAAAGCTCCGTTTACTCCCTTTTTTCCAACTGCACGTCCGGGATATGGATGCTCAGAGACCTCGTGGTCTGACGGACCACAGAGAGACCTTCTGAAGCAACTTATCCAGAGCTCCTTCCCGGATCCACTCGGAGCCCCCCGGGGAGCCTTAGCCGGATGAGGAAGGGGCAGAATCACAGATCCACCCCGGGGATGGAGTTCCCTTTGCCCCCCTGGAGGGAAGGCAGGCAACGGCAGAGCAGGATCTCCCCGAGGAAACCCCAGAAGAGTGGGATCCACAGGATCCTCCCTTCCTCCTGGCGGGGAGAGGATCTGCTGGCTGGACGGGCAGCATGGAGGCCGGAGGAAGAGCAGCCTCACCTTCCCCGAGAAGGATCCAGAAGCCTCTCCCGAGGGATCCAGCGCCGATCTGCCAAGGAAGAAGCGAGATTCACGGATGAAAACGGAAATCCAGATGGGGGACGGGACCCTCTATACAGTCCCGCCTCCTTTTCTTTGCCCTCCCCGTAATCACCCCTCCCAGCCAGGACGACGTGCTCCGAAGGAAGGGCAGAATATAAATCGAACCAATAAATAAATGAGATGGGGGAACTTCAGCTCCCAGAATTCATGCTGGCTGGGGGATTCTGGGAATGGAAATCCACACAGCTTAAATGTTGTCAAGGTTGAGAAACATGGATATGGACACATGTAAACATGCATCAGTGTCCGTGTAGAGACATATGTGTTTGAGGATGTGTTTATCAAACTCTTCCCCATTCAAGAAGGGTAAATGTAAGAATTCAAATCCACAATCATGACTAGAATTTATTCGAGGTGATTGTCCTCAACTTACAGCATAATTATAAATATAAATATAAATATAAATATAAATATAATATAAATAACTACAGACTTTCAACCTTAAGTGAGTCTCTGCACATTATGGATCCAGGTCATGAATACCTTTTATGGGTGGGGCCCATCCTAAACTCCAAAAAGTTACAGCTGGATGACTTCCATGGCTGTTTGCCCTCCAGCTGTGCCTGATGAGCTCTTGTCTGAAAGGGGGGGACCGATCCAAAATCAGTCTCTTCCACTTGAATTGAAAAGGGAAGGAAAGACACAGGAAGGGGCACAAATGTAGGAGCCTGGTGGTGCAGTGGACTAAACTACTGTTAAAGTAGTATTTAGCTGCCAGTTGCCTGCAATTACTGTGAGTTCAATTCTCACCAGGATCAAGGTTGACTCGGCCTTCCATCCTTCCGAGGTAGGTAAAATGAGGACCCGGTTTGTGGGGGCAATAAGCTGACTTTGTATAAAATAGAACACCACTTGGGGGGGGGGCAAAAGCCCTACTAAGCAGGTATATACAAAAGTATGAAACACAAATCTCTAATTTTAAACAGGGGCTGCCAACACTAAAAGAAACTTTTCTTTTTAACTTTCACTTTCACACCCCATTAAAGCACAATTGCCATCTTGGTTTCACTTTCTCCCCTTAATAAGTCAGAAGGAAGTAATATACATTTGGAGTTAAAGTTCAGTACTTGCAGATCTCATCTCTCCTGAGTTTGCTCAGCCTGCTTCTGAATGATGTTTATTCTAGCGTTGTTTGCAGGGGTGGTCGCGGCGTCTTCTTCTGCTTGAAGCAGAAACATCCCGGATCCGGAGCTCTGTCGGGCTTCCAGGGAGCTCTCACCCTTCAAGCCCCAGAATTGTTCCTGGGGCTACTTGGGGAGCTCTACCTACGCCCGTCTGCTCTCTTCCTCCCCTTTTCCCAGGAGAAAGTTTTCAAGCCGCTAGACAGCTGATTTGCGCTGTTCTAGCAGCTTTACAAGATCGTGGGGCTGGCGCTCAAGGGAAGAGTGTCCTCGGTGCCTGCGGTGCCACCAGAAGTCCCAGAAGATTAGAGATTACAGCAGTGATCCTTAAAAAAAAAAGGACTGATATTATTTAAAGACTGATTTTGGGATTTGGTGAATTAACAGTTCTGGCAGTTGACTGAATTTAAATTGGAAACTAAAAATGGCTTCAAAACAAATTAAGGCTATTGTCCCCAAAAGTGCTGGGACTTCACCAGCTCAAATGTCCAGATTGCAATCTCACTCTGTTCCAATGGAACCAACAATATTAACATTTGAAATGTTGCAGGAAGCCCTCAAAACACAAGCCTCTGTTACAGAAACAAAAATTGCTTCAATGTTTCAGGAGGAAACTCGAGAAGTTGCTGAAGAAATTGCACAGGTCAAAAAGACTATTCAAAAATGAAACCAAGAAATTAGAAAAGATATTATTATGGCAGTACAAGGATTGGCAGGACACATTGAAGCAATAGATGAAAAAGTGGAAGAAATTAAGCAGTCTAATGAGAACTTGGAAAATAAAATGGGGGAGGTCCAGGACAAGATGGAAAGAGCAGAGGCGGATGTGATAATGATACAATATAGAGACATGGAATTTGCTCTGAGAATAAGAGGCCTCAAGGAAAATAAGCAGGAGAATTTGAGAGAGATCTTTTCAGAAGCATTTGCACAGATAATGGAAGATCAAAAAGCAAATTTTGAATGGCAGATTGACAAAATTTATCATGTCAATTCATGGGTGGCCAGACAGAAACATCTACCAAGAGATATTGTACTTTATTTTACAACAAGGAGATTACGCAATGAAATCCTACAAGTCACTTTTAAAAACAAACTTCAAGTGCAGGGGCAGGAGGTTTTAACACTGAAAGAAATTCCCCCCAAAATGTTGAGAGCCAGAAAGGATTATGCCTTTCTGGTGGAAGAATTGACATACCGTCAGATACAGTATAGATGGGAAGTTCCAGCTGGTTTGGTGATGAATTATTCAGGAGAAAGATACCGTCTCAATTCAGTGTGGAAGGCAAGAGATTTCTATACCAATGTATTAAAGGCTGGATGCCCTCAGCCCCAGGAAGCTAGAAGGAAGACGGAAATGGATGGGGCAAGAAAGGGGGAGAAAGAAGAATTGTTGGCACAGGCCCAAAAGGGTGATTTGATTATTCAAAAAAAAATTAATACAATTTTCGACTACTGTTCAAGCTTAGAAGAACCTAAGGATCAAAGACAGACTCGAGCGGCAGCTAAGAGTCAAGAAGAATTAAGAGTGCAGCAACTTCAAATGATTCGAGACACTACAAAAACAGCAGCAGTAGGAGGAGCAAAGCCAAAAAGTAAAATGCATGGAGATTTCCAGCAGATGCTCCAAGTGCTTCAGGGGGCCAAGAATGGCAACTAGATTTTTGACCTGGAATGTCAATGGCCTAAATTCACCACAAAAGAGGAGAAAAATATTTCATTATTTGAAACAGTTTAAAAATGATGTAATTTGTCTACAAGAGACTCATATTAGAAGTAAAGATCAAAAATATTTAATAAATGCAAGGTTAGGTATACATTTTGTTGCATCTGCTCCTGAGAAGAAGAATGGTACAGTTATATACCTAAAAAAAAGACTTAATTGCCAAATTAATTGAAGCAGATGATCAAGGAAGATTTTTAGCAATTGAACTGTTAATAAAAGGAGAAAAAATACTTTTAATTGGAGTCTACGCACCAAACCAACAACAGGAAAAATTTTATAAGCTTTTACATTCCAGGTTATTACAATGGGATTATAAATCATGTATTTTATTGGGCGATTGGAATGGAGTTTTGGACACTAAAAAAGATAAGAAGGGGCTCTTGCAGAACATTTCAACGCGTGCCAGATTGCCAAAATTGTTTTTTGAAATGATGGAGGACATGGAACTGAGAGATATCTGGCAAGAGAGAAACCCCGAAGAAAAAGACTTTACCTTTTTTTCTGATAGACATCAATCTTTCCCAAGGATTGATTTTATATTAATTACAAATGATTTCTTTTCCAGAGTGAAGAAGACAAAGATTTGTCCAAGAGTTTTAACCGATCATAGTCCAGTCTGGATAGAATTAGAGTATGGAAGGGGATCTAAGAGGTCTTGGAGGTTAAATGAAAATTTGTTTAGATATGAGGAAAATGTAAAAGAATGTAAAAAATTTATGAAAGAATTTTTTATTATAAATATGCATAAGGGTACATCTATGGAAATGGTATGGGATGCAAGTAAAGCATATATGAGAGGCATTTTGATATATTTGAATAATAAATATAGACGTAAACAGGAAAAAAAAAGGAAGGACTTAGAAGAAGAAATCAGGAAAAAAGAACAAGCTTTGATATTGAATCCAGCAGATAAGAAAATAAAAGAGGCAATTAATTTATTGCGAAGGCAATTTAATATGTTAATGGCAGATCAGGTCGCAACTAATTTGCATTATGCTAAACATAATACTTTTTGTAATGCTAATAAACCAGGGAGGTGGTTAGCATATTTGTTAAGGAAAAAGCAAAAGTCACGGACCATAGAGAAAATAGAATATAAAGCTAAAGAGGTTTATCAGCAAAATATGATTAAAAAAGCATTTTAGAATTTTATAGAAGGTTGTATGCTGGTGATAAAATTCAAGGTGCAGATATAGATAGATACCTACAGAAAGAGTATATTCCTACAATTACAAAAGAGCAAAGGGAGGGTTTAAATCAACCAATAACTACTGAGGAGATTATGTCTGCAATTAAGCAGTTGAAATTGGGTAAAGCTCCTGGGACGGATGGCTTGACAGCTGCTTATTATAAACATTTGCAGTTAGAAATGGTGGGATCACTTAAGGAATTATTTACTAATATACAATCTGGAGGAGATATACCCCCATCTTGGAGGACAGCTTATATTTCTTTGATTCCAAAGGAGGAGCAAACCACACCCAGCCAAAAAATTATAGGCCCATATCACTCTTAAATACAGATTACAAGATTTTTGCTAAAATATTAGCAAATAGGTTAATGACAGTCATGCAACAAATGATTCATAATGATCAAACTAGTTTTATAAATGGTAGACAAATGAAGAGTAATGTAAGGCAAGTTGTTAACCTATTGGAGTATTTGGGGAAGAACAACCAAATCCCTGTGGTGCTGATATTTCTTGATGCAGAGAAAACATTTGATCAATTGAATTGGCAATTTTTATTGAAAATAATAGAAAAGATGCAGTTTGGGGAACATTTCACAAAATCTATTAAGGCAATATATCAGAAACAAACAGCGCAAATAATAATTAATGGTAGTTTAACAGACACTTTTAATATAGAAAAAGGAACAAGACAAGGATGCCCTTTGTCTCCATTATTGTTTATTTTGACTTTGGAATTTTTGTTAAGTAAGATACGTGGGTCAGACAAAATAAGTGGAATTAAGATTAGGCAGTATGACTATAGATTACGAGCATTCGCAGATGACTTGGTTGTTACTTTAACCCAACCATTACAGTCTGTTGTAGGTCAAATGGATATAATTAATCAATATGGACAAGTATCTGGATTTAAAATAAATGCAGGGAAAACAAAGATAATAACTAAAAATATGACTATAAAGCAAAAAGAAGAACTAGAAAGACTAACAGGATTTGAAATTGTAAAAAAGGTTAAGTATTTAGGGGTGTATATTATGACATCAAATGCGAAATTATTTAAGTATAATTATGATCCATTGTGGCAAAAAATACAAAGAGAGATGGAAAACTGGAAAAAATTACAATTATCCTTGTTAGGAAGAATAGCAGCAGTAAAAATGAATGTTTTGCCTAAGTTTTTGTTTCTTTTTCAAATGATACCAATACTTAAAAAAGATGAGAATTTGAAGGTATGGCAGAAGGGTATTAATAATTTTGTTTGGGCAGGGAAGAGACCGAGAATAAAACAAAAAATAATGCAGGATACACATGAAAGAGGAGGTCTCAAAATGCCTAACTTAAGACTTTATTATGAGGCAGCTGTTCTATCAGCAATGAGTGATTGGATGAATTTAACAGAAGAAAGAATATTGAATATCGAGGGATATGATTTGGTTTACGGGTGGCATGCTTATTTATTATATGATAAGAAAGTGGACAAGACTTTTAAAAGTCATATATTAAGGAATGCTCTATTGCGTGTCTGGAAAAAGTACAAGTATAAACTAAATGAGAAGTTACCATTGTGGGCAATACCCAGACACACGATAGAGAATATAACTATAGAGCAAAAGCAGGATGTGATTACATATAAAGAGCTTCTTAACAAGGAAAGAGGTACACTACAATTAAAATCTCTGAATCAACTAAGAGAAGAAAGGACAATTCGAACATGGTTTCAATATGTACAGTTGCAGGCTAGATGGAAAGAAGATCAGAAAATTGGTTTTCTGCAAAATGAGGAGAATTTGGTAAAATAGATTAGAGATCAAAGTCAAATGCATATAAAAAGGTTGTATAACCTTTTGTATGGTTATACATACAATGTATGTTGTATGCATTGCTAGAAATAGATTCAGAAATGGAGTTAGTTAAGGACTGTATGATAAAGTGGGCACAAAATATTGAAGAACCAATAATGATGGAAACATGGGAAAAAATATGGGTCACAAATGTGAAGTTCACGCAAGCCCAAAACTTAAGAGAGAATTTTTACAAAATGTTTTATAGATGGCATCTGGATCCTAAAAAGCTAGCCTATATGTATCCAAGTGTGCAACCTAAGTGTTGGAGATGTGAATGTGATGATGCTACGTATTATCATATATGGTGGACATGTAAAAAAAATTAAGGCATTTTGGGTAAAAATATGGTGGATTATCCAAAACATTCTCAAAAAGAAGATAAAATTTACTCCACAATTTTTTCCGTTAGGCATAATTACAGATTGTACTGTTATAGAGACTAAGTTGATTTTAAATTTAATAACAGCAGCCAGACTCTTGGTGGCACAGTACTGGAAGAAGGAAGATTTGCCTACTATCGAAGAATGGACACTAAAAGTAGCAAATTTAGCAGAGATGGCCAAAATTTCAGCGTATTTGAAGGATCATTCAAATGAAAGATATATATCGGAATGGAGAAGATGGATTGACTATATTCAAAACAAATATCGGACTAAAAAGTTACAAATAGCTTATGAATGAAACCTATATTTCTTTTTTGAATATTGAAGGGGGAGTTAAAGAGCAAGGGGGAGTTTGGAGACTACAGAAAGTTAGATTATTTTAGTTTAGGTTTGTTATGCTATACCCTGTTTTTGCTCTGGGAAGTCCGGGGTGGGTGGGTGGGGAGAGGGGGGATGGAGGCGTGGGAGGGGGGGAAATTGTTGTAATGATTGTTAAAACTTTTTAAATAATTTTTTTTTTATTTCCAATTAGGAAAGGCAGCAATCTGGCCATCAGCTTCTTCTAGCAGCTGCTCACAAGACCACCCTCAAAACTTCCTTTGTCCTTTGAAAAACATCCACCAAGAAGGAGCTGCCCCATCACAGCCTCTTCTGGGCAAAACACGGAAAACACAAAGTTGAGAAATTCTACCCATTGTTTTGAAAGCAGAAGCAAAGTAAAAGATTAGCATAAAAACAAAATTTTTGGCCTTTCAGACAGAGCTCAAAGAAAGAGGGTCTCTTTTGTGGGTTAAGAAAACAGGAGCTCAATTCAACTAATTTAAACTTCTTTCCTCCCCCCTCCCCCCACTCCCAAACATTCATTTGCAAAGACATCCGTGTCTTAATAACACAATATAAATCTCAGTAAGTTTTAAAGCACAATTTACTTTTTTTTTTCCCCAAATACACTTGCGGGATGCGCATGCTCAGAAGCCTCGTGGTCTGCTTGACCGCAGAGAAACCTTCTAAAGCAGTTTCCACAAAGCTCCTTTCCGGATCCACGCGGGGAATCTTGGCCCGGGAGGAGGGGGCAGATCCAGCCCCGGGAGGGACCCCCCCCCCCTTTTGCATCCCTGGAGAGACAGGAGGGATCCGCTCCCTGCAGGCAACGCATCAACAACATGAACTCAATTCAATTAATTTTAAAGCTTTTATTTCTCCCAAACTCTCCCCTCCCCATTGCAGTGAGGTCAGTCTGGGTTTAAGAGCACCTTGCAAACCTCCACAAAAAACGTTTTAAAGCTCCGTTTACTCCATGTGCGGGGATACTCCTGCTCAGAGACCTCGTGATCTGCCGGACCATAAAGAGACCTTCTAAAGGGATTTACCAAAAGGCTCCTTCCCGGATCCACCCGGAGTCTCTCGGGGAGCCTTGGCCGGGCGAGGAGAGGGCAGATCCAGTCCGAGGACGGAGCCCCCTTTGCCCCTCAGGAGGGAAGAGAGGGATCCGTTCCCTGCAGGCAACGCCAGAGCAGGATCTCCCCGTGGAAACCCCGGCAAATCGAAGAGCGGGATCCGCAGCTCCCTTCCTCCTGGCTGGGAGAGGATCTCCTGGGAGGAGGGATGGCCTGGAGGCCGGAGGGAGAGCAGAGCAGCCTCACCTGCCCCGAGCGGGATCCAGGAGTCTCTCCCGAGGGATCCAGCGCCGATCCTCGCCGAGATCCTGCCAGGGGGAGGGGAGAGGGGGGGAGGGCGCGGCTTCTGACTACCTCTCAGGCTCCGCCCCCGCCTTGAAGCCCCGCCTCTTCTCTCTCCCCCTCCGACCCCAATCTGCCTTCCCAGGACCACGGGCTCCGAAACCCTTTCTGGGTTTTTGCTCCTGGGGGAAGGAGGGGGGAGAAAGGGGCTGGGATCCCAGGAGTGGGAAATGGGATGGAGAGCAAAAGAGGCGAGAGCCTACAGGAGCTTTGATCTCCACGTGGTCTCCCCTCCCCCTCTACCCAGTTTCCCCAATCTGGAGAAAGAGGGAGCCCCCCTATTCCCTTGTTGTGGCAGAGGTGGGCCGGAGGTCGCAGAAAGGGATGTGGGGATAAGATGCAGCCAGGGCCGGATTTTCCTATAGGCTAACTAGGCTTCAGCCTAGGGCCTCAAGATCCAGAGGGGCCTACACAGTGTGGGATTCTGGGGGTTCTAGGTGGCTCCGCGGAACCCTTTGTTAAATTGCTGGCTCCCCCGCCCCTCGCCCACCACTATTTATTGGCAATAAATAGTGGTGCGGAGGGGCGGGGGAGCCAGCAATTTAACAAAGGGTTCGGTGTTTTTTTTTTTGTAATTTTATTGGCCCCCGGAGCTTCAGCAGAGGCTAATTGGCCTCCCGGCTCTCAGCTGATTTGTCTCAGCTGTTTTGCTCAGGGCTCTTCTGCTTCCTTGCAAAGAGTGCTGATTTTTTTCCCCCTAGCATTGCTGAGAAACGAAACTGAAACTGCTTTGCTGTTGCTGCAAGGTTGGAAAATTAGGCAGGCAGAATTCTTTTCTTTTTCCTCACCAAAAAAGGTACGTGCAGACAATGGGAAATTTAGGGAAAAAGAGAAGAGTTCAGGATTTTAAAACACAAAAGAAAAAAAAAACTGTATTTAACTAGGGAATTGTAATAATTGAGATACTATTAATTGTATATTTCTGAAAGCAGAAATGGTTAAGTTGTGGTTTGGAGGAATATATGGGGGAAATTATTTGGTTTATTATTATTGGTAAATATAATTAATGGATTTGTAAGAAATTGGATTGCATGGAAATAATTGGAATATTCATGTTCATATTGATTAATATAGAAAAAAGGTAGTTATATAACTAATTGATTTATATTAAAATGTTGAATTTATATTAAACAACTAATATTACATAATTAACCAATGTGAGGATGGATATAAAAATAGATGACAATGGGAAGGGGTATAATATAGAATAGAAGGGAAAAATTGAATTTGATTAAGATTAGAGATGAGGATGAAGGGTAATATTGGTTTTTTACAAAAATAGATGAGGAATAAATATGGCAAAAAGGAAATATAGAAATTGTAAATTTAATTGAAATGACTAAACACTGTTTAAATTTGTGAACCGGCCAAATACTCTGTTCAAAGAAAATACATTGTATGTTTGTATGTGTGTTTCTAATTATTGTTATTTATTCATATTTGTTCTCTTTTATTCTTTAAAGTTTAACAATTCATTCTTTATCTTAATATCTTTATATTTGTTTGGGGTTGGCTTTCTTCCCTTTCATCTTTTTTATTGTATAGCAATCTTTCTCCTCAAACCTACTACCTCTCTTTTCTTTCCTTCTTACTTTCTCTTCCTCCCCCTCTTCTTCTCCTCCCTACGTCCTCTTCCTTTCTCCTTCTCCTCCTCTCTTCCTCCCTCTCTCTCCTACTCTAATTTCCCTTCCCTTCCTTCATCCCTCTCTATTGCTGTATCCTTTTATGCATATGGACTACTCAGAGGGCTGAAAAAGTTATTTCTGACTGGTCCTTGCACTTTTGACCAGTCCTCGAACTTACGACTGTCCTCACATTTTACGTTTTTGCCCTATCTTGTCACCATGGTGAAGAAAAGCAGTTGTGAAATGAGTGACATGGTTGTTAAGAAAGCTGCACGGGCATAAATGTGAGGATGGTCATAAGTGTGAGGACCGGTCAAAAGTGCGAGGCCCAGTCAGAAATGACTTTTTTCAGCCCTCTGGGTAGTCCTTTTGTGCATATGGACTACTCAGAGAGCTGAAAAAGTTATTTCTGACTGGTCCTCGCACTTTTGACCAGTCCTCGAACTTATGACTGTCCTCACATTTTACGTTTTTTCCCTATCTTGTCACCATGGTGAAGAGAAGCAGTTGTGAAATGAGTGACATGGTTGTTAAGAAAGCTGCACGGGCATAAATGTGAGGATGGTCATAAGTGTGAGGACCGGTCAAAAGTGCGAGGCCTAGTCAGAAATGACTTTTTTCAGCCCTCTGAAAAAAGTCTATGCACATAGCCAAGCCCACCCGTCACATGACGAGCTACCCACGCCTACACAGTCATGTGAGCAGCTAGCCACGCCCACCCAGTCACATGATTGCCAAGCCACACCCCCAACTAAGCCACGCCCACATAACCTGTTAAAAAATTGAATCCCACCACTGGTGAAAGGGCCTCATAAGTGGAATAGCCTAGGGCCTCTTTTCATCTAAATCCGGCCCTGGATGCAGCCTCCCCCCCCCCGTGGCTGGGTGGGAGTGGGACCTTGAGGACCCCGAATTAGAACTTGAGCCCCAAAGTTTCTTGCATCGAGAGAGGAAGGAGACAGAAAGTGAAAGAGGGAAACTGAGGCATTTTCTAACCTGAATCCACAAATGCCATCAAAAGTATAAGAAAAAGATGCTTTTTTTTGGCAAAAGTGTTTTTCTTCAGTTTTTCGTCTGAGTCTCCATTTTTTTAAGGTGCGGGAAGAGCTGAGCTTCGATTCCCTTCTTGGGGGAAGACTCTGAATTTGGAGAAGAGACCCAGAACCTCCCCCCACATCCCATAATCCCCCATTGCTGAATCACAACCTGGATGGGAAGTGCGAACTGAGGGAGAAGGATATTGGGGGGGGGGAGTTGCTCTCCTAAACGGACTCCCCAAAACTATCCCTTTTGTGAAGGAGGTTGCTGACCCCCCCCCAATGAGGTGGCCTTGGGGGGGTTTCAGGGGACAGAGAAGAGACCTGAACCCCAAATTGATGCAAAGGCGGATATAGGACTTAAGCTGTGGGGAGAAGAAAAGTTAGGTATAACCAGGGAATCTGAGGGTCTCCTCCTCAGGACCCTCAGATCCCCACCCATAGTCAAGCCACCCCCCCCGGAGGTCATCCAAACTGGCTGTGCAGGACCGTTGCTCAAAGCAGGACCTCGGCCAGGCCACAGCAGGCTCCCATGCTGAAAGGTGAGAGTGGCAGCATCAGGATTTGAACCCAGGACCAGCTGGCTCACCAAGAGGAGAACCTTCACCTCCCATTCCTCAACGGCAATCTCAGGGCTGCTGCACCAAGAAGCAACTTCTGGAGGAAGGGTCTCTCCCACAGGCCTAGCCCAGCGTCCTTGGTGCTGAAGGGGGGTCTCTCCTGTGTGGGGTCTTAGGGGGGGGCATCTCCTGGGGTTTCCTTCGCTCTGGGCTCTTAGGTGGAAGACGTTTCATCTCTCCAGGAGCTGCTGGATTTTATCAGGGCAGCAAATGCAGGCAAAAATGGGGCTGCAGGGAGGGGTCCCCTCCCCCCTTGGCTAACTTTTAAAAAAGGCTATGGCCCAGCCAATGCTGGGGGCTTCCTCCCCCCCAGACTGAGTTGGAAGGAGCCCCAAAACTCTGGCTTCAATTCCCTAGAGCCCTGGTGGCGCAGCAACTAAAGCACTGTTATTAACATCAGCTGCCTGCAAGTTCAAATCTCACCAGGCTCAAGGTTGACTCAGCCTTCCATCCTTTCTAAGATACTGTAGGTAAAATGAGGACCCAGATTGTGGGGGCAATAAGCTGACTTTGTATAAAATATACAAAAGTATGAAGGCTATTGCTTAACGCATTGTAAGCCGCCCTGAGTCTCCGGAGAAGGGCGGCATATAAATCAAATAAAAAAAAAAATCCAAAAGCTGCATTTTTACCTCAAGAGAAGAAAAAAATTCCTTGAAAACATTTCACTTCCCATCTAAGAAGCTTCTTCAGTTCTGACTGGGAGAGGGAGAAAAGAAGGATTTGTATTGTGTCACAAAGGACAAACCCATCAGAAGATGATGTCCATTTGCATCGAAAAAAACACGGGTGGCTCTTTTGAGGACAGCCAAGTCCAGAGAGGAGCCCTGGATGGAAAGGGGGGGCCAAAGCGGCCATCTTTGCCAAAATGAGCAGCTCTCCCACAACGGGGTGGGGGTGGTGTGTGTGGAAAGGACCCCCTCTCCTGTCTACAACAGGGTCCTTTCAGCAGCCCAGGAAGGCTCCGCACCCCTTTGCACCCTGATTCAGCACCAAATGACTGCAAGGAATATCAATCCTTCCATCCTCCACCGCTCAGTCAGAACTGAAGAAGCTCCTGGGATGAGAAGGGAAATGTTTTCAAGGGGAAAAAAAACAAGAAAGTCCAGTTTCCTTTTGGAAAAACATTTTAGGGACAACCATGACCTGGAGGATGGAGACTCTCCATAGAGACCCCCTGTCTCCACTTTGTCCTTTTGAAATCTCAGCAGACCCAGCCTGGACTCAAGGGGGCCTTAAAAGACCTTAAAGGGCATCTAGTCCACCCCTCCAGGCACAAAGACAAAGGGAGATTCAGATTGAGAATTATTGGGGGAGGGCACAAAAGGAAATCCACACCGCCCTCCGGTCCTGGCAGGAAGCAGCCCCCTGAAGCTGCAACCCCCACCCACAAGACTGAAAACCTTCCCCTCTTTCACCCTCTCTGCCTCTACTGGAGTGGTGGGGCCTGAGTTGCTCTTCCCAACTCTCCCTTCAGTGAAGGGTGCTGGGGCCCCTCCCTTTGAGATGATCTTGGGGGGGCTACAGGGGGCCTATTTGGAAGGGGGACAGGAAAGAGGCCTTGAAAACCATTCAAAGAAAGCTAGTGGGGATGAAGATTTGGGGGGGGGAGTTTGGAGTATCTAGGGAAGGTGGGGGTCGAAGGACTGGGAGAGCCCAGGAATATGGGTGTAGGTATCCTTATTGCGATCCCCTCCCCAGATCCCCCCAAAGGAAGAGGGATAGGGAAGCATGGATATTGTTTTCCTTGCAGCCCAGAGTTCCTGGGGGTCTCTTCCCTTCTCCCGTATTTCCTGCTGCTTTTGGGGGGGGCAGAGACCCCACCAGGATCCAAGGTTCCCTCCAGAGCGTTAGGCGGACTGCTGGACCAGTTGAGTGTCTGCCTGCCTTTTTCCACCCTGGGAAGATGGAGGAGACCCGTCAGGAAGGCCCTCCCCTTCCCCTCATTTTCCTCCACATTCCAGGCCCCCACCAAGGATGGATCCTGCTGGGACCGACAATTCCCTATTGCTCTGAAAACCGTGGCTAGCAGCTGCTGGGAACCATGGGTCCTGCACTCCCTGACAGCCTTCCTCCTCCTCCCCGCAGCCCATTTCCTGATCCAGGGGAGATCCGAGAGCCACTTCCTCAACCTTCTTTGGCTACACAATATGGCACAATCTGACTGCCATCTTGTATGTTTGACCCACCCAGTCCATCTCCTGAAAAAGGCCCTCTTGATTATTTTAAAAAATACTTTTATTCAGCATTATATGCACAGAAAGAACGTTAGTATAAATATCTCTGTGTGAATATATGGTTCCTGGTAAATGTTAAGATGTCTTGAAAAAAAGTGTTCCCAATGTTGTTCACCGCTGAACAATGGAGATTTATCTCTGCTATGGACTTTTTGGTCCTTTTTTAGCTTTGATTTACTAGGAAAAGGTTTCTTGCACTCTGTGCATTTGTAAGGCTACTTTCCTGTGTGACTTCGGGTGTGCACGCGAAGTGTTGAAGGATGGACATAACATTTCCCACACTCCAGACATTTATAAGGTTTTTCTCCAGTGTGGATTCGCTGATGCATCACAAGAGAATCTTTCCGTGAAAAACATTTATCGCACTCTGAGCATTTGTGGGGCTTCTCTCCTGTATGGATTCGGCTGTGACTTCTAAGGGAACCTGAATGAGCAAATGCTCTCCCACAGTCTAAACATTTGTAGTTTTTTTCCCCTGTGTGAATTTTCACATGACTTCTAAGGGCTGATAAGGTACTATAAAATTTTCCACAGTCATTGCATTGATATGGCTTCTCCCCTGTGTGGATTTTATGATGACCCAGAAGGCCTCGCTTGTCTACAAAGCATTTTCCACACTCTACGCATCTGTATGGCTTTTCTCCTGTGTGGAATTTTTGATGGCGTCCAAGGTGTTGTTTTTGGGAAAAGCATTTCCCACACTCCCCACATTTGTAGGGTTTCTCCCCTGTATGGATTCTCTGATGAATCTGAACATGGGCTGGCGAAAGAAAACTTTTCCCACACTCCCCACATTTATGGGGTAGGTCCCCTTTGTGCCATTCCTGGTGTCTCTGAAGTTCAAAAGAATACATAAATCGTTTCTCACATTCTGGGCATTCATAGGGTCTCTCTCCAGTGTGGCGTCTCTGATGTTGCACCAGGTTTGATTTCAAGGTAAAACATTTCCCACATTCGAGGCACTTTTCGTTTTTCTCCCCTGTGTGTGTTTTCTGATGTCTCCAAAGTCCTGAACTCTGGCTGAAATATTTTCCACACTCACAGCACTTGTAAGATTTTTTTCCTGCACTAGTCTTCTCATGGGACGAAAGGTTTGCGTTCTGAGAAAAGATCTTCCCACATTTCTCCCCCGTGTGGATTCTCAGATACATCTGAACATGGGCTGGCGAAAGGAAACTTTTCCCACACTCATCATAATTATAGGGTAGGTTCCCTTTGTGCCATGCCAGGTGTCTCTGAAGTTGATGATAATACATAAATTGTTTCTCACATTCTGGACATTCATAGGGTCTCTCTCCAGTGTGACGTCTCTGATGTAGCACCAGGGTTGATTTTGAGGAAAAATATTTCCCACATTCAAGGCACATTTCATTTTTCTCCCCTCTGTGTTTTTCTCATGATTCCGAAGACCTGAAATCTGGGTGAAACATTTTCCACACTCAAAGCACTTGTAAGGTTTTATTCCTGCATGAATCTTCTCATGGCGCCGAAGACTTGAGTTCTGAGGAAATTTCTTCCCACATTCCCAACACTTGTAAGGTTTCTCTCCTGTGTGAATTCTCTCGTGGATTCTGAGAGTGCTTTTTTTTCGGAAAAATTTCCCACATTCCAGACATTGATAAGGTTTCTCTCCAGTGTGGATTTTCTGATGTGTAAGAAGGTTTGACTTTTGACTAAAGCATAAGTCACATTCCTCACATTTATAGGGTTTTTGTCTAGGGGAGCTTCTGAGATCTTTGGAGTTTTTCCCAGAGAAAGATTTCTCACCCTCCAAACCTTCACTGGATCCACTTTCCACATGGAGCTTCCTGTGGGTCAAAAGGAGGGACTTGCGAACAAAGGATTTCCCACACTCTGAGCATTCATGGGTTCTTTTGGGGTTCTTGGAGGGCTGCTTGTGTCTGATGGGGGATCCAAGAGTTTCCCACGCTTCATGCTTTCTCTTGGCTGCTGCCTTGGGCTGAATTTCTACTATCTCTTATTAGTTGTCTTGAAGGTAAATCTTTGGTCACAGTTATTTTCCAGCTGGTGGAACAAAAAAGAAAATGAGAACATTATTTCCTTTTGAGAAACACAGAAAATCACAAAACTGTTGAAGGCAAGATGCTGTCAAAGTGTTATTGCTAATAACAGCTGCAACAGTAAGGGCAGAATTGCAGTTCTTAAGCAAAGCGGTCATGTGATGTCTCACGTAATGACCGCTTTGCTCAACAAGTGAGTTTGCAGCCCAGTTGTAGTCGTAACTTGAGGACTGCCTATAGGAAACACAAAAATCAAGGCAAAAACTTTCACTGCATTGCCATTTTGTCAAATAAAGATGAAACACAAATGAAGGTGAATATACGTGTTCCAGAATGAAGTTGCAGGATCCAATCTGGGTAGGTCACCAGGATCAGAGGTTTTTTCCTACCGAGCTTTAGATCTTGTGCTGGAGCCCTTCTTCAGGGAGCTCCTCTGTAGCAGAGTGTGTCCTGTGTGTGGTGTGGTTGTTTATGTGGACCAAACACAGAAGAGCAAACACTGCTAGAGAGAAGTTCCCTGAGGAAGGGTCCAGCACGAGATCTAAAGCTAGGAAGACAAACCCTTTGATCCTGGTAAGCAACCCAAATTGGAACCATAAAAAAAAAACGCTTATGTTCCAAACTAATATTTAACCAAGATTCTGAGGGACCTAAAGGCCCTGGGAATGGACATTAACAACTGGGAAACCTTGACTCCGATCGTTCAGCTTGGAGGCTAAAGACCATGGCCTTCTCCAATTTGAAGAGATACTTGTTCGGCAGGCTGAGGCAAAGAGGCAGTCCCAGAACCAGCAAATTCTGGGGGCTGGGCAGGGGACAGAATGTATTTGCCCTCAGTGTGGAAGGGATTACCACTCTCAAATTGGCCTTTTTAGTCACACTAGATGCTGTTTTAGGACCTCTTTCCAGAGCACGATACCATAGTCTCTTGAGACTGAAGGATGCCAATGATGATGAGCCAAAATGAAAGAAGCCAGCAGGATGAAGTCCAACAGGAGCCAAGGCAAAGTTGTGAGTAGGAAAACGCAAAGGAAGGTGAGAGAGATCAGATGGGGAAGAGCATGTGTGAAAAGGGCCGATCTCCTCCCAAGAGCCTTGGTAGAACAGTGGTTTAATGCACCGTTATTAACACAGCTGCCTGCAATTTACTGCAGGTTCGAATCTTACCAGGCTCAAGGTTGACTCAGCCTTCCATCCTTTCTAAGGTAGGTTAAATGAGGACCCAGTTTGTGGGGGCAATAAGCTGACTTTGTATAAATATACAAAAGTATGAAGGCTATTGCTTAGCGCATTGTAAGCCGCCCTGAGTCTCCGGAGAAGGGTGGCATATAAATCAAATTAAAAAAAAAAAAAATTCCCCATCCCACAACCAAAGAGATTCAGGCAACGTATCCAAGCAGTTTGGTATGAAGTGGGATGCCAGCTGACCTTGAAGCAGAGTCTGGAGGAGACACCACCCTTACTTTCACCCCCACCCCCAGGATTCTGCCTCCCCCTGGTTCTTGGGAGTCCCTCAGGGAATCCTAGGGAAGCAGAGGAAAGCATCAGATGGCAACCAGCCTCAAAACTTCCTTAAAACTTTTGCTTTGTAAAACATCCACCATGAAGGGCCACATCACAGCCCCTTCAGGGCAAAACAAGGAAAATACCGATTTTTCCTGATTCTACCAAGCCTTTAGGATCAGAAGGAGATTAAACATTGGCATAAGAACAAAGGATTTCACTGTTCCCCTTTTAAACTGAGCTCAGTGAAAAGGGATCTCTTGTGGGCTAAGACAACATGAACTCAATTCAATCAATTTAAAGCTTTTCTTTCCCCCAAACTCTCCCCTCCCCATTGCAATGAGGTCGGCCTGCGTTAAGAGCACATTACAAACGTTTTAAAGCTCCGTTTACTCCATTGTTTTTCCAACTGCAAGTGCCGGATATGGATCCTCAGAGACTTCGATCTCTTACGGACCACAGAGAGACCTTCTGAAGCAATTTACCCAGAGCTCCTTGCCGGATCCAGTCGGAGCCCCGCCCCCCTCGGGGAGTCTGGGACGGGCGAGGAGGGAGCAGATCCAGCCCGGGGACGGAGCCCCCCTTTGCAACCCTGGAGGGAAGGGAGGGATCCGCTCCCTGCAGGCAACGCCAGATCTCCCCGAGGAAACCCCAGAAGCCGAAGAGCGGGATCCGCAGCTCCCTTCCTTCCTGGCGGGGAGAGGATCTGCTGGGAGGAAGGGCGGCCTGGAGGCCGGAGGGAGAGCGGCCCCACCTGCTCCGAGCGCGATGCAGAAAACTCTCCCGAGGGATCCAGCAGCGATCCTAGCCGGGGAAACGGGAATCTCGGACGGAAGCGGAGATCAAGACCGAGGGAGGGGAGAGGCGGGGGCGGGGCTTCTGCTCTCCTCTCGGGCTCTGTTCATGTCTTGAAGCCCCGCCCCTTTCTCGCCTCCTCTTCTTTGCCCTCCCCTCCCAGCCAGTGCTCCAAAACCTCCTCTCTGATGGGTGTCGGTGGCAGTGTTTCCCAAACTTGACCCTTTGAAGATGTATGGACTTCAACTCCCAGAATTCCTCAACCAGGCATACTGGTTGGGGAATTCTGGGAATTGAAGTCCATGCATCTTAAAATAGCCAAGTTTGGGAAACACTGGTGTAGAGAGTTCCTCTGCCCATGGGAAGAGTGTCCCTCTCTGCATGCTGGAAGCGGGATTTCCTAATCCCCAGAGACCCCCAAGACAGGAAAGAGGAATGTTTGGGGGAGGAACCCAGATCTTCTTCCCATGGAGGTGACACAATACAAGAGGGAAACAAGCCAGCCAAGCCACTGCAAAATGGAAATGATTTTTTATTTTTATTGATTGATATCCGCCTTTTATTATTTTTACAATAACATATCCCACACATCTTCCTTTACCTATTTGCCTCACAACAATCCTGTGGGGTGGGCTATGGTGAGAGAGTCACTGGCCCCAAGGTCTCCCAGCTGGCTTTCATGGCCAAGGCGGGACTGGAACCCATGGCCTCAGGCTTTCTAATGCAGGGCCTTAATCACTAGGCCACATTGCATGTCCTGGGTGTTGATTGGCAATGGTCATCTTTCAAGATGGGGGAACTTCAGCTCCCAGAATTCAAATCCATAATCAAGACCGGAACTTAAGGGAGTCTCTGCACATTATGGATCCATTAAAACCTTTTGTGGGTGGGGCCCATCATAACTCCAAAAAGCTGCAGCTGGATGACTTCCAGGGCTCTGTTTGCCTTCCAGCTGTGCCTGATGAGCTCTTGGCTGAAAGAGGAGACCAATCCAAACTCAGCCTCTCCCATCTGAAGTGAAAAGGAAAGGAAGGACAGAGCCCTTCACAGGAAGGGGCACAAATAATGAAACCCCCCTTGTTGGCAGGAGGAGCTGAATGCTGGCAAATGGTTATTTATTTATTTATTTTTTTATTTATTTATTTATTTATTTTTGTGATTTATATGCCGCCTTTCTCCCTAGGGACTCAAGGCGGCTTACAAAATGACAAATTCCAGTACAAATCACAATGAAATAAAATTAAAATCGGCAACCCTATTAAAAACAGTTTAAAATTATGACAGTGTACCTCCAAATGGATCAGTTGAGTTGATGAAAGAAACATGGTGTGTGTGTGTGTGTGTGTGTGTGTGTGTGTGTGTGTGTGTGTGTGATGGAATTAGCATGAAATGGGAGACTAGCCCCTTTTTCCTATTTTCAGTTGACCTTCGGTGTGTCCCAGGACTGGACCTTCTTCCCAAAGAGCCTTAAATCCATAAAGAGAAAGCGCCTCCATCAGACTTGAGGAGCATCCGGGTACCAGGTGCCTCTGGGGAACCGGGTGTCCAGATCAAGGGATTCACAGGGGCAGGAAGATGCCAGAAGCGCCCCCTGATGTAGCCAATAGGAATGGGGCAGATCCCAGCTTCTGAGCACATCAGCAACTAGGTCACAAAGGACCCATTACTATGGGATCAAGAGAGAAAAGGCCTTTTCCCAAGTAAAACAGCTAGGAAAACATTGTGCTGCATTCAGCTGGGGAGGAGATGCCATTTCATGGAGGATGGAGGAGAACGAGAGAATGAACCACAATTAGAATAGAAAAGAAAAGAACAGAATAGAATTTTTTATTGGCCAACTGTGATTGGACACACAAGGAATTTGTCTTTGGTGTATATGTATATGGTCTTAGTGTACATAAAAGATATGTTCATCAAGAATCAACACTTAATTATAGTCATAGGGCTATAAGGCAAGTGATGAGTTAAAGTGAGTTTACTGAAGCTACAAAAACATTGCATTAAATTTAGACTATTTGAAGTGATATCTCTATGGAATATAAGGTAATTGCTTCCAGGTCGATAGAAATAGGCAAGAAAAATATTTAATGTCACATGGCA